AGAGAGAGAGAGAGAGAGAGACCTTTACCTGAGCACCAACGGCCCGTTGGCAAACCCCTTGATAATTTTGAGAGCATCTGCGGTTGATCCATTCGCCGTTGCGCTAAAAATAGTAATGTACCCTTTGATACTTAACAATTTAGGTTTTTCCGAAAGAAGCTCTGCTAGGCTGCCCTGGAAAACTTCCCAAGCAATCATTGCCAGTTTCCCTACCTACCCAAATTTTAGAAAACTCACGCTAATAACCATGCAATAACGATCGGTGCCGGACGGCTGCCCTTTTTTCCAATTTGCATACTTGACCCCCGTGCCGTCGCGCCACCGGTAGATGCGCTCCTGGTTCTCGTTGGTTTCCTGACAAAGATTTGTCGGGTTAGTTTGGAGACTCTCCCACCTCCATGCCCCCAATCCAGACGTCGCGATTCCGGGTGGCCTTTCGCTCCTGGAGGAGTTCTGCAAGGGCCGGTTATACGTGGGCACATATTTACGTCTGCGTTTGGAGTTTTCCCTGCGTTCTATGCGCAACTAAGCGCATGCGGTGCGTAGCTAAACGTGCGCCTTAATGGTGCGAAGAAGGCAAAGTTTGCAGGTTCGGTGATCGAACGTATCGAGACCGATACCGAAAGGACTATTGCTTAAACATAGCGAAAATTGATGACGTTGCGAAAATGACGGAATATTCGAGAAAAACAGGAAGTTTTTGGGGCAAAATAGACCATCTGGGCGCGCGTGAATATATCGTAACTAGGGTTGTTTATCGGAACAGGCCGAGATTCGGAACATTCGGAACAGCAACCGTCCCGACTGTCCGAATGTCGGAACAGTCCGGGTTTCGGGTGTTCCGCTCTGAGATCGGAACATTCCGAGATTCAAATGTTACGGTTGTTCCGAGATTCATATTGTTCCGACTGTTCCGAGATTCGGGACGTTCCGAGATTTGGCTGTTCCGACTGTTCCGAGATTCGGAACAGTCCGATATTGAGCTGTTCCGAGATTCAAATTTTTTCGCATGTAAATTTCCAAACACGACTGAATTTCGATTCGATTCGACCCCAATTCGTTCTCATTTCCTTATTTCTGGATTCGATATCTAACCATCGACGGAATTAGGTGTTCAGTTGCGCCCACACTGCCGTGGGACCGCCAAATCGAAACATTTACATGCAATCTACACGATTTACATGAAATCGAAATTTACATACGAGAAAATTTGAATCTCGGGACACCACTATCTCAGACTGTTCCGAATCTCGGAACAGTGGGAACAGCCAATCTCGGGACGTCCCGAATCTTGGAACAGTCGGAACAATATGAATCTCGGAACAACCGCATTATTTGAATCTCGGAATGTTCCGAATCTCGGAACAGCCGGAACACCCGAAACTCGGCCCGTTCCGACCAGTCTTTGTTCCGAAAGTTCCGAATCTCGGTCTGTTCCGAGAAACAACCCTAATCGTAACGCACGGAAAGCCGCTTGGTTCCTCAATCTCGGTTTTTCGGGGATCAATTTTAAAAGTTAAAATAGCTAGGAACAATCGGAATCGTTTGACAACTCCGGAAATTTCCCCAGAACTTTCAACTTCTGGTGTTTTCACGTCGAAACCAAGACAAAAGAGCAGGCGGCGCTGTCGCTTTGCGGCTGTATCTGGCTATTTGCCAGGGAACAGCGCTGCAGCGACCAGACATTTTTGAAAATTTTTGAAAAAAGGCGGTAAACGGCAGATGTTTTTGAACCGCCGCTCCCCCCGAAACCTTGCCGCCCCCCCCCGAAATTTTGGGTCAGCTACGGCCCTGGTAGCAAAGACCATGGCCGCTACGCCCAAAAATATGAGCCGCCTGAGCATTTTGAGTCCTAAAACCGGGCGCCACAGATCCCTAGGCGACCCTGCTATTTGTACCGCATCTACTGGTACTGCATATTCATTTAGGCTGCTAGGTCATATTCAAGATCTTCGGTTTTTGGTCAAAATCTGCGAACCTTATGCAGTTGGATATGCACCTATCGGTTCATCGACTCCCATGAAAGTCTGATGAAAGTTTTTCTTTGCCACCGCGAAAACTGCAAGGTGATATGTATCTGTCAGCATTCAAGTCTCGTGAATTTGCGGAATAGCCACAGAGCTGACAAGGCAATTGCATATCGTAAGCTTCCGTTTGCCATACCAAGAAGGTAATTTGAGGTAGTCCTTTTCGGAGCAGAGAAACTTGGAAGAGCTCTAATTTGAACCTACAATAATGTAAAATAAAAAAGTTATAGCCAAAAACTTCCGGCTGGGGGGGGGGGGGGTAAAGTAAAGTATAACCCAAAAATTGGTGCCTGACTTTTGGTGCGGTCAGTTCCACAGAGCAAAGTATCGTCTCGGTACTCTACATTGAATTCGTTGCAGAAAGTCCTGCCCGAGTGATGAGACCAATTCGGCGTTTGCCACCTGCATGCCACGCGCCCCCCGTTTTCCCAAGTATGAAATAAAAAAGTATGAAGTAAGCACTAAAATCAAAGAGTTTTATTGACTCCAAAAACCTTCCTTTAAGCCGTTACTCCACCGATCGGGTCCTAAAAGCCATTTAGGGATTAGCTGATACCTGGTACCTTCTTGCAAACCCCAACCGCATCCTTTTTCCCACAGTCTGCCGCCGACCAACGGTGCCCACTATCCAGATGGTCGAAGTGGAGGCTGTAGAGCTAAAAAAACGATTGAATAGGAAAGATAATAATGGGAATACCGAGAATCCAATATGAATTTTTTTCCTCACCACTAAACAATTTTTATCGTTGCCAGAAGTCGATGGGCCGTCGGCTGACCAATATGCCCCATCGAACTTGTTCCCGTCGAGCCAAGCAAATCTTCCGTTGGAACCCTAAATATGAAAATTCGAAACTTTATCTTCGGACTGACTGTAAGTTACCGATTGATATATTGTTATTAAAATGTAAGTTTTACCCTCTTCGCTCCCAGCCAGACGCTGTTGAACCCGTTGGACTCGGCTAGTTCTGGAAGGTCGTAATTTTTTGCGTACAGCCAGTCCCAATTAAGATCGTTGAAATACCAGACACGCATGAACATTCTGACGGCAGCTAAAACTGAACTAGTCCGAAGATACTTACCAATGATAAATTCTTTCTCGAGATAGGAGGTCACCGATGAGCCTTTGCCATTCCAGTTCAAGCACGTTTCTTGGAAGCCCATGCTGTTGGTCTTGTTACCCGTTAGCTAAAACGGCATTAAAATAGAATATGGAAGGGGATATAGGATTTTTATACGCAAAAGTTTCGAGCGAAATCTATCGTACACACTCCATCATTCGTGGTTTTTTCTTTAAAATGCTTACCTTATAACATTTCCCGGTATGTCTGGACCCCGTCCATCCGTCCTCACAGTTTGGCTCTTTCAGGTGTGGCGTCTTCGTTCCGAAGGGACGTTTACAGATGCCGTGCATCAGCCGGGCCTGGCACCATTGGTGCAGCATTATGCCATTGGGCTGGAAAAATAAATCCAGTCGGCCACATAAGGTACCCCCTACACTCAATAACGTGCAAAAGAAGCCGGGAATTTCCCACGGATCGCCCCAGGTAGAATACGCCTGCTCCTCACCATTCATCCAATAGTTCTTCGGGGCGTCGTGGTCTTTGGACATCTCAAAAAATGATTGATTGCCAGTTAAGGTATACTTAGACACAAATAATAGATCGTCAAAAATCAAAATAGCGTGAAAAAGCTATCCGTTGCTATCTAAAGCTATTTTCAGTAGTGCCCCCCTAAAAAACCCGCTATAGCCTAAGAAATCCGTTTAAAAAGTTATAATATACTGCAATTAAAATCAGATACGTAATTATGATATGCCTATTGCAAAAATTATTCAAAAATACCCGGGCTTCTGCTGTGCAATAAACAAGATAGACTATGAAATACAAAAAGAGGTCTTCAACACCGACATTGTTTTTAAAAGTAACGCTCTGTGCGCTACATAAGTATACTAGCTATTACACGTACGTAAGTATACTTTGATCGATTAAAAACAAGCGATCTTACATAGGTATACTAGCCATGGACACCTATGCTCCGTAAGACATCCTTGATAATTATTGCTAGCCTACCTTTCAATACCATAGAAACGTCTTACAATACGCGTAGATCCCTACCTTCATGCTCCCAATCCATATCGATTGTTTTGGAATCTTCTCCCCGATAATCCCTAAACATTTTGAAACTTTTGGTGTGTTATTTCTTACCAACTAGCGTCTGCTTTTCTTCGTCATGCAAAACTGTAGTGACCTGTGCGCCAAGGTTAGCGCATTCCCTCGCTGCCGTCCGGAAATTGTCCTTTTTTTCGGTGACCTAAACATAGACATCTTTCCGGTACAGATTTTACAACCTTGTAGCAATTCTTCGTGATCAGCGACTGTTTCCAGCCTGGCTCGCAGTTCTAAAGTAGTGCAAGATGTTTTTCTTTGAATTCATAAGATATTAATGACTGCAAATTACTTACCTCGGCCACAACAGCTATTACAAAAATCAAGAATCCCAACAATTTTAACATCTTGGAGGGGGCTTTGGTGTTGGGTTTTTCGCAGTTTTTCGTTGCGACCCTCCTGATTTTTTACTGTTGCATGAATAAAATATTTTATGAGGGGAAAGTTTTGCGGTGGCCAGATAAACTTATTCAAAAGGCGCTGTTGTTTTGGGATTCAAGATTTGAAAGGTCGAATTTGAAATCTAGAGCCTGATCTTTGGACTTTTCCCGATTCAAAGCCGTGATTTCGAAACATTTTCGTCCTTTTTCGACGGATGAAATTGACGAACTGAAATGACGAAATGGCCTTTCAGACAATACGCTAAAAAAATTAGCAAAACTCTATCCGAGTTAAAACCTTTTAACTCGGATCGGTGCTAATTCATAGGAGCTGCTCCTCAATTCGAAAGTATTTTGTATTAGAATTTGCCATAATTTAATTTATTCCATAAAAATTTGTTGTTATTATTATTTCGTGGACGTATTCAGGCTTTCGTCTTTCCGGGCTAAAACTAGTTCAAATTCACACAGGAAATCGAAACTGACCTTCTTGCAAACGCCCATCGCGGTGCCGCCGCAATCGTGCTCGGCCCAACGGTTCAGGATCGTCGCATCGTTGTCCACCTTGCCGAACAGCTGAATAAAATGTGTCAGGGGCAAATTAGCAGATATTCTTTGGAGGTTTCACAATCAATTTAAAAAGCCTCTTACCACCAGACAATTCTTGTCGGTTCCAGAGGTTGATGGCCCGGTCACCGACCAGTAGGCGTTGTCCCATTTGGACTGATCGATCCATTCAAATCTGCCGTTGGTTCCCTGTATAATGTTAATATTGCCTTTCAGGTTCCTTTAATTCGTTCTATCTGGGAGATACTAACCCTTCTGGCTCCAAGCCACACAGCCGTGGTATTGGCTTGCTTGGCCAGATCTGAATTTGATTCTGTATTATGAATCCCAGATGCTCTGATTTCTCTCTCTCTTTCTCTCTCTCTCTCTCTCTCTCCCTCTCTCTCTCCCTGACTCTCTCTCTCGCGCTTAATAACATCTTTTTCTCTGGCTTTCTCCTTGGCTTTGTAGCTCTTTTGAATGAAACGATCCCACTGGCCCTCAATATCTCTCTGGTACGCTCGAAGCTTTCTCTCTCTCTCTCTCTCTCTCTCTCTCTCTCTCTCTATCTCGTTCTCTTTCTCACTCTCGTTCTCTCTCTCTGACTCTCTTTCCCGCACCCAGAATAAACTCCTTCTCAAGGAACGACAGCACCGAAGCTGGCTGAGCATCAGCAGCGAAGCACTCTTCCTGTGCATCGCCACTCTTCGTGATTTTGCCGGTCAACTAGAAAACTGTATCCAAGTACACAAAACTACTTCTCACTTTATAGCAACTTCCGGTAAACTTTGAGCCCTTCCACCCCTCATCGCAGACCGGTTTCACCAGTGGGACCGGCGCATGTCCGATCGGTCGCTTGCAAATCCCTTTGAGTTGAGCGCCGCAAAGGCTTTGCTGCATGACACCGTCCTTCTGAATTGTGTCGCTGTATCTCTCTCCAGCTGTCTCGCTCTCTCTTTCTCTCTCTCTCTCTCTCTCTCTCTCTCTCTCTCTCTCTCTCTCTCTCTCTCTCTCTTTCTCTTTCTCACTCCCTTCCCGCACAATCAGCTTTACTCTAAACTTTCAAAGACCCTACATACATTTTTCTGAACGCAGAATCTCTCCATGTCGTATTTGGGCGGAATGCCTTTCCAGAGACCCATATTCGGGTCCACCGGTGTCCCATCCATCCAATAGATCTGCGTGTTATCTCCCCTGGTCATCTGGAAAATTTGAGGTGAGGGTCCTTACGCCTAAACGCGTTTCGTCTGAAACCCGAATTCCAATAAATTGAGCCACTTTTAGAGTTGAATTTTTGACCAAGCCACCTCGTTTTGCGAAATCGCTGTATTTATTGTACGAATTTTTCACATCCAATTCTAGAAATTGAAATTGCAGATCAACTGTTCTAAGGCTTTGAATTGAGAATTTGCAGAGTTCCGTTTGCAAAAATAATAAATCCATCGCAAAACCGAAACCATTTGTGCCATAAATCTGGCTAGGGGATGGTCAAAAATTTAGGCAAAATGGGTGTAAACGAAGCGGCATTTGGGCGAAACGGGTTTAGGCAAAGTGACCGGAGTTCGAAAATTGAGCCGATAAACATTTCCCATCAAGGCAAAGTCCGAGGAATCCGCGTGATACGCTTTTTCAGTGCCTTTTTCCTATTTTCTCTATTCCCTTTATTCTCTATTCGCTTTCAAAGTTTTGCGCAAAGTGTAGTGCTTACCAAAATTCCGCCAACCCAAGCGTCGTAGTTTGGAATGTTCTTCTGCATTAGACCTAAATTGTATGGGTGTCGGTCCGATATTAAAAGATGCGGAATTTTTAGGGACTCTCCTTACCATAAATCGCCTGGTTCTCCTCGTCGGTCAGAATTGACGTCAAATGTGCTCCTTCTTCCACGCATTTCCCCTCGGCAGCCCAGAAGGTCGTACCGTCAATCATCTAAATATCTACTTACATCAATTCTCTTTATTCGATACCTTGTAGCAACTCTTACTGCCCAACGAGGTCAGCCATCCCTGCTCGCATTGCTGAATTTTTTTGATACACTTTTTTCCATTGTACTCAATAACTTGCGCCTTTTCTGGATTAACGGTTATTTTTCTGTATTACGTTATAAATGTACGCTATACAAACTTACACCAGCCGCAAAGCTACCCGCAAAAACGGAGAAAAAGATAAGGTGGCCCAACATCTCACCGGAAGCCGCGGCGCCTGCTTTTTGGCCTTCATCTTTATACCCGTCGCCCTCATTAACATGCAGGAAATTCCTTTTCCTGGGCCCGACAATTGCGATTTGATTTTTATTGCCCAACCCGAATTTTAATCGCCGAAGATAGAATTTTGGAGCCGAGGTATGCACAGCGGATCATTCATTGGATGCTGAAAATAAAACAAAATTTCAGAAACAATCATCAATGATGAAGATGATGCGCAAGATAATGGATAACATGCACTAAGGAGTTGTGTCGTGCAGCAAAAAATCGTCGATAAAAATTGTTTATTGCGAACGAAACTGGCTGTTTACGCGCTGGGCTTCGGGTTTCCGGGCTAAAAAAGGTCAATGGGGAAAGCAAAGTAAAACAAACCTTCTTGCACATTCCCATGTGCTCCGTGTTGCAATCCCATGGGAAATAACGATGCGCGGTAGCCGACGACAGATGGTTGCATACCTGGAATCAAGCGAAACATGGATGTGCATTATCCTTAATCCTCACCAGCAGACAGTTCTTTGTGTTGTCCGGTTTCTCAGGTAGATCCGAATTCCAATAGCCCGTCTCCCATTTCGATCCGTCGTTCCAGGTAAAGACACCGTCGGCGCCCTGAAAGAAGGTTCATGTGGCAGATTCGGAAAACTGTCGCCGAAGGTTGCTAACAAGGAAACGCAGGCGCTCTCTAACTATAAAAAAAAACTATAAGACATTTTGGGATAAAGGCTTGAAGCAAAAGCATGGTCCCCACATTGGGGAGAACTTGCGCCTCCGGAGGTGCCCGCCCCACGGGGTAGCGGCGTGGAAAGGAGTTCCCCGTTGTTAGGATTCGGACACTATACTGCCGCCCTAGCGTATCGTGAATAAGAAAAAAACTGATAGAAAATAGAAAAACTAATTTCCACCGAATTTCGACAATCCTATAAGACCCACCCGCTTCGCACCCAGCCATGTGTCTGTATCCTTCTCAACCGCCTTGGCTTTTTCTGTAAACTTGCTTTGTGGCTAGGATTTGGAATTGCAGCGTTTAACCAGCTTTTTGCTTACCTAGAATAAACTCTTTCTCCAGGAATGAATTAGCGGACGCGAGTGTAGCGTTTAATCCAAGGCAGTACTCATTAGCGGCGCCACTCTTTGACGCGGGGGTCAACTAAAAATCGAAAGATATTCTGAAACCGAGTCGGGCGATACAAACTAACCTTATAAATGTGAAAACCTTATAGATGTAAGGCAGGCAGCTGTTTAGAGTACCTTATAGCAACTTCCGCTCCACTTCGACCCCTCCCATCCTTCGTCACACAGCGGAGTCTCCAATTTTGGCGCCACCTGGCCAATAGGACGCTTGCAGATACCCTTGTACAGCGCGTCACAAAATCCCTGTTCGAGGCTGCCATTGCTCTGAAAAAAAAAAGCAAACTGCAGCTAGTTCTCCTGCAGGGCTAGCGCCGTTCGCGCACTTGCTCAAATCCAGGCAACTAACGTTTTTGCGGATGCAATGTTCCTTTCTAGTAACGTCGGGCTGACCGGCCTTGTTCCAAATCACACTGTTCATGTCAATCGGCGTCTCATCCATCCAGTGAAACTGCGTCTTGGCCTTCGTCATCTGGAATCGGTAGATGAACGGTCAGTAGAGACGCATTTGGCTACATTTCCCCCCAATCGCCGCGCGATCTGACCACAAGACCGAAATAGGTTGTATCTAATTCTATTTCCTGCTAGCGTTTACGACTGCTGGCACGCTCGAATTCTATTTCCTAGAATGTGTTTTGCCCCCGATTTCTCAAAATTATTGAAAACCATACCAAATATCCGCCGACCCAAATCTCTTTGCCTGGGATCTTCGTGTTGACCATATCTAAATGTGTGCGTCTTTGAACGTTTCCTACGGGCTACCCTTAGCCTAGATGTGAACTTTGGTACTTCTTACCATCGATAAACTGGTTCTCCTCATCGGTGAGGATCGACGTCAAATGCGCACCGTCCAGCGCACATTCCGCCTCCGCGTCCCAAAAGCTTTGCCCGTTGATCATCTGGAATCTGAAAATTTTAACCAGTGATTTTTTCACCTTGTAGCAACTGCCCGCCACTTTAGAAACCGTCCACCCATCTTCGCAGTCCTGAAAAGTTGCAGGTTTCCGCGACCGAATCACTGTGTAATCTACGACACACATTAGAACACACTGGCTTCAAAATGCCGATAAACGATTCCAAACATTTTTTCAGCGTTTGACACACAGTTTAACATCACACAGCTTACCTCGGCAGTAGCAGCAGCCGCAAAAAGCAGCGCAATCACCAGGCGCACCGACATGGTAGTGGGCGACAGGTCCATTCGGAGCAGCAATCCCCGCGCCTAAATGCTATAGAAAAATTTCCGAGTCAATACAACCTCATGAATCCCTTGAATTTCAAGCTGCCGCGTTGAGGCCGCCGGCTGAACTTTGGTCAGATCCGGGATCCCGAGAGCGATTTTTATCGACAGCTAGTTTTTAGAATAGTCGGTGTTCTTCGCAGGGAAATTTATTGTTTTGTCGATTTCCAGAAAGGAATGTATCTGTAGAAATGGCATATAAAACGGATAAAAATGCGGGGCAGTAGATACTTTTGCACATTCCTATTACCCTAAAATAATTTGGCTCGGATGAACGGCAAATTACGGCGCACGATTTTAAATGACTTACTACGGCCCTTGTCGGTACTCTTTTCAGACGACGATCTGCATCAGTATAAACCAACGTGTTTCTTACATCCTATTTTACTGAAAAGCATTTTCTTGCGCGTGTTTGCAACCTTATATGATTCAGCGATAGTAAACTTTATTTCAAACTCAATGTCAATTTCCTCTCAGGCCTTCGTTGGGCTAGGGCCCTTGTTTCCGGCCTGCAAGAATGCGAATAATATACTTGGTAATTGAGAAAATGAACCTTTTTGCACATTCCCATCATCTCCTTGTTGCAGTCATCATCATAATATCGATGCATGCTGAGTGATTTGACATGGTCCGCAAGGTTGCAGAGCTACAAGGGAGACATACAGGGTGCCCCAAAAAAGCACCCCTCCGGCATTTTGCCGTACTACATTTGATCGTTTCCAAAATTGGACCAGAGGTGTCACATGCCCTAAATAACCATAATTTTGTTATAGCACGATCGTTACAGTGTTTCTCGAGTTATAGCCAAACGCTGTTTTCTATTCGGATTTTTTTGCAGCTTTTCGGCTATTTTTTAGACTTGGCATTTTTTTCTTTATCTCGAAAATTACTCTTGGTGGCAGGATTACTACCAATTACTGAGGGTTGAGGTTGTTTACGGTCTGATACACCACTTGTCCGATTTTGGGGCGGATAGGAAGTGATACGGCCGAATCGGTGAGGTGCTTTTCTGGGAAACCCGCTAGTTTAACCTTCGATATTATTGAAATAAAAATGGATAATTGGAGCATCAGTACTCGGAAAAAAAGAAGTTTTTTCATCGCTAAAGGCTTACCACAAGGCAATTTTTCGTTGTTTCGTTTCGCAACGGTACCCCGAGGGAGCTCCAGTATCCGTTTTCCCATTTTGACCCATCCAACCATTCAAAGTCATTGTTGGCGTCCTCAAACAAAAATCCTTGAAAGATCTCGCTATCAGAAACTTTCAGAAGGCCGTATTTCATATCAAACGGGTTTCAACCATTATCGCTATTAATATAACACGAAACGAACCCGTTTGGCCCCTAGCCATGTGTCCTCGTTTTTTGCGGCCTTGGCCTTTTCTAAATCCTTGATGTAACAACTTCGTAATTTTCCTGCTTCTTCGAGCCTACCAGCCTCCATCTATGTATTTATTGCGTGTAGCCTACCCAGAATGAACTCTTTTTCGAGGAAAGTGAGAGCGGAAGCCAGGTCAGCACCCCATCCCAGGCAAGTCTCCCGGGCAGCGCCACTTTTCGAAACTGGCGTCAACTAAATTGGCAAACTCTCGGATTTGGACAACTGTGCACGATTTGTAGTCGTGAAACTATATGTAGCTGACTGCAAGGTTTTTTTAAAGGGCTAGTCCAGCCAATAATGTATAAGAATTTCCGCGGCCACGAGTCGAACCCTCACTGCGGTTTTGTGTCTGCGCCTCTCGCATTTCCCCGCTATCTAATAGCTGTCGTAATATGGGACTGTTCATGCGCGCTATCCCTGCGTCCATAGTGTCGCAAGGTACCAGCCCAAGCTCAAAGGCTGAACTAGCCCTTTAAATGGGTATTATAATAAAAAAAACTTTCATTGCCTGAACTAGCTTGTGCAGAATTTTTTGTTGATTCGGAATCTCGTTTTCGAATTCGCGGTAGAGCTAAATTTAAATAATTACAGCGGTTTTGGTTACTACTCAGCCCGCAATTAGTGATCTGGTTGATTCTGAACCAGGAAAAATTCTGCTAGGTCCGGAATGGAAGTTCCCACCGACGTAAACATGTCTTACAGTTCATTCGCTGACTTAATTTCCGCTAAACCTTATTCGCATGATACAGCCATTAGTTACCTTGTAGCAACTGCCAGTCCACTTCGACCCCTCCCAACCCTCCTCGCAAGTTGGCGTCTCTAGCTTCGGTGCCACCTGGCCGAGCGGTCGCTTGCAGATCCCTTTGTACAGCTCATCACAAAATTCTTGCTCCAGGCTCCCATTGCTCTAATAAAGCTATTTGTCATCGGATCGGCTGCTCGCGGCGATTCGGCGCCTCAGAACTAACTCAAACTTACTGTTTTGCGTATGCAGAATCGCCGCTCTTTCAGGTCTGGCTTGTTGCCCTTGTTCCAAATGACATTCTCGGGGTCAACAGGTGTGCCGTCCATCCAGTGGATCTGTGTCTTCTCCCTCGTCATCTAAAAAACGCTCAATATTTCTTACGTCGTAAATCTTGTTTGCAAAATCGGTGCTCATGCGGTTTGGGAGGAGGGGACAGTCCAAAATTGGTAGTAAGAAGTTATGAGGTGATCTGCTTAAGCTACTTGGTTTTTCACTTAATTCTAGTCTTAACGTAGCTTTAACTATGCATCAAGAGTTTAAAATATAAGAGCTTAAAAAATATCAGAGTTTAAAAAAGGATGTTTGGAGCGTCTTGTAGTCGAAAACCGGACTGCCCCCCTCAAGTGCATTAGCACCGCAAAATTAAATTATACCAATAAGCCGCCAATCCATGCGTTGTGGCCAGGAATTTTCTCGGCCATCATTCCTATAAAGGGACAATGAGGTTCTTCTGAAGATGACTTCTGGCGCTACTTGCAACGCAAGGCCGGAGGTATCGCAAGGCGAAGCTGGTTACGCACCCTCGATGAACTGATTTTCTTCATCGTTCATCAGCGACGTCAAATGGGCTCCTTCCAATGCGCATTCCGCCTCGGCATCCCAGAATGTCTGCCCGTTCACCATCTACAAAATCGTGCTCAAGATATTCCAATATGCACCTTATAGCAGCTGTTCATCACTTTGTAGGGTGTCCATCCTGCTTCGCAGTCCTAGAGTTTTGCGCGTCATTGGTTTGGATTGGTGTTTGAATAAAATTTGTTGAGAACCTGCACAAGGTCGCGAAGGCAAAAAGCCTACCTCGGCAACTACGATACCCGCGAGAAGCAGGGTGATAGAAAATTGGGTGAACATCCCACCGGAAGCCAGAAATGCTACATGGTTTGCCCGGCGCTTCTTATACGCCTTCAAAAAGTCGGTTATTTCCAATTCAGGGAGCAGCTCTTGAATGCATAACCTAAGCTCTGGTTTTTGGTCGCAAAAGCATCGGGTGTTGGGATTCGGATAAGCTGGTAACAATGTCAACTCATGAGGTAGGATGGTCTTCAGGAAGGTACCACCAGGTGAAGTTCGCGATTAGCCTTTTTATCAAGCACTCGGCCTTGTTCATCACCTCCCCTGATTGTGTTCAAACCCACTGGAGCTACCGCCTTGAAAAATTCATGAGACAACCGACGCCCGCGCCTGCGTTGATCAAAGCGCAACAGAAAGATTCTTCTCCGAGGAAAAGGCCTCATAAAAGTCAAAACATGGGCCGCGACAAAAAGATTTTCAGTGACTGCCGACCCCCACTTTCAATCAGCTATGGTTGGAAAGGGATTCTTCTTACTTTTGGTCTCCGTGGCTACCGTAGCCGCCGAGGTTTGGTTTGGGTTTCAACACGCGAGGCATTATATGCCTCTTTCTAATGGGAATCTGGTTTCCACACCGGGCCTGGTCCATCTTGTGAAGTATTTTGAGCTGATTCTGAAGCTGTATTCAAATTTGCGAAACGACCAGACCAGAGCTGGTAGCAATTTTTAAGAGCACAAAAGTCACAAAATGGCTTGATTTCGAGGCGATTCCGTCGTTTTCGCAACCAAAGGCTTCTAAACCTTTTTGGTCTCGTCGTTTCGTATTTTTTTAAAACGCTTTGGAATCAGCGCAAATTTTACACAAGTCTGAGTCGGTACCGTACGGAAACCCGATTGTCACAAAGAAACCTATCGTTGTTAGTTGGGCTGTGAACCTGGGTGGACGCTGGGCAAAGGCACTGATCAGTGTTACAAGGTGAGATTCGCGATTGCCTAAAAATCCATGTGGCTTGAAGCGCGTCGACGGCCTCGCCGACTACGACAAGGCGTTCGAAATCTGCAAAGGCCTTGACGCCGGTCTGCCCAACATTCACTCGCAAGCCGAGAATGACGTGATACACTGTTGGTGTCTGCCCATTTACTACACAAAACTGCTCACCGTAAAGTGTTTATTTTCGTTTCTTTTTTCTTTCTTCAAATTTGGCAAAGCGGCTGTCGATACGAGGTAGCGAATTCCTGAGGCTCGGGATTTTTCGGATGACGAATTCGAATTCCCGAAAATCGCGATTTTGACCGATTTGAGGGCCCGTCTGGACACTGAGAGGCTACGAGGCACTCCGTTTCAGCTACATGATTTTTAGCTGAAGCACAGGCTTAACTTTACTTTATTAAGCTTGCCATTAGCAAAATACTAGACTTCAACCAAGGCCCAAGCCCAGGCTTAGCTTAACTTGGAATCTCCGTAAAAATTCAAATAGGTGCCATTAGGGTTTAGCTTACAGCCAGGCTTAACTTGGCTTGTGCTAACCTTGGGTGTGGCTTCAAAGAAGTTACTCACTCACAATCAGTGGTCAGGCTCAGACTTACTAGGGATGCCTTCCAACTTACCATCGAGTTTCGACTTGAAAATTGGTGAGTTTATAGAGTTTGAGCTTGCGATTCCGATGCGCTGAAAATTTTAACAAATCGTCCATAGGCGGCTGAGATATAACAAGTTTAATTTTGGCAAAAATGCATGATTTTTGCGCGTGTCGTCCCCGCCGCCCTGAACCAGTCGTGCGGAGAACAGGCCTCTCTGGCACCCCTCCGGCATGGCAGCGTGGCTTCAAGGTAGAGCTCTCGCTTCAAAAACTTTTGGTCGGGGGTTCAATTCCGGCCACCAACTTTTTTTGAAAAAACTTTTTAAAGCTTTTTGCCAAATTTTTTACCTGCATTATTATTTTGTATTCTCTGGCGGAATCAAAAGATTGTGAAGATTCTCGAACCTGATAAAATGAGTTGCTCTGTTCATAGAAATGCTCCAGAGCTTTTCCTGTGTTTCTTCATCCTTCGCTACAGCATCGTAAAACAATCGCAAAAAGTTTGGCAAAAAGCTTTAAAAAGTTTTTCAAAAAAAGTTGGTGTCTGGAATTGAACCCCCGACCAAAAGTTTTTGAAGCGAGAGCTCTACCTCGAGGCCACGCTGCCATGCCGGAGGGGTGCCAGAGAGGCCTCTTCTCCGCACGCCCCGTACAGGGGCGGCGGGGGCGACACCGGCAAAAATCATGCATTTTTGCCAAAATTAAACTTGTTACATCTCAGCCACCTATGGACGATTTGTTAAAATTTTTAGCGCGTCGGAATCACAAGCTCAAACTCTATAAGCTCATCAATTTTCAAGTCGAAACTCGATGGTAAGTTGGAAGGCATCCCTAGTAAGTCTGAGCCTGACCACTGATTGTGAGTGATCAGAAATCCGGGTCCTCTGCCGCGGAATGCCCGGACCCTTCTTACCCCCTTCCCTGTCCCCTGTCCCGTCTGTTCAATAGGTTTGCAAACCTAAAATTTAAAATGTCAATATCTCCATACAACCCGTTTTCAGCAATGGAAATACCCAACCAGCTCGTTCGACTCGGTGCCAAACGGGTAAGGGAAACATTTTTCTTGTTTTTTTTTCAAAAAAGTAACGTCAAAATTAGGTCAAAGTTTACTTTACCCCCCCTCCCCCCAAGCTGGAGGGTCTCAAAGTTTTCGGTGTTTTCGCTTATTTTGTCGAGATTTTCGTAATGCCATTTGATAAAGCGTCAAAAAATATACTCAAAGCTTGAATTTAGGCCACCAACAATGTAAAATAAAAAAGGTACCAGGGTTGAAAAGCCGCTTCGCGACTTTTCAACCCTGGCCCCGTCTAACTTGATGAAATTCTTCACTCTTCATACGTCTCGCGAATTCCTATGGGGGAAAAATGAGGAATTCCACTCTCTCATGTTATATATAGGCTTCCGCCACTTCCGGCGTATGCTAATTATTTCCTAACAAAGAAGGCTGCCGGATTTTTCAACAAAAACTCAATTTTAATGTCGAAAATAGCATAATTTGCAAAATCTGATATGCGTGCAGTCATCTCGAGGACGTTACGCACCCAATGACGTATTATACGTAGCCTAACACTCTTCCCCTCTTGAGATATCCTCCGGACACGGTGACGGAAGTTGCATTCAAATGCACACACACACACACACACAGGAACTATTTTTTTATATATAGTAGGATAGCTAAAACCTTCCGGCTGGGGGGTAAATTAACAGGCCTTTTGCGAGAGACGCGAACAAGGCCTGGCACAGTTTTTTTAAAACCTTGTTTTTTGACGCCTTCTTAAAGATCATGGTCGAATTAGTAGGGTGGGATTGTTGTCAAAGTTTAAAAAGTTTAATTTTTGGGCTAAAGTGGGCCTCAAAGTCGCCCACACCGAAAAAATATATGAAAACTACTGCACCGAATTTAGTGAAATTTTGCGACAATACCTAATTTGGGGCGGGGATCATTTTTGTAATACATCGCGAAACCTGAAAGTGGCCGGAACATAGGTATATTGCGTATCAAAAACAGTTTTTGCGGAAATAGTAGTTTTACGGGTCACCAGAGCGCTTAACCACTAAAGTCAAAAAATGAGCGCGAAATTTCTGCATTGGATGGTGTATCTTCTGGAGCGCTCCGCGAGCCCTTAAAAAACGAAAAAGTGAGTTGAATGTGGCGCCAACGCACCAAATTTGGCTGTTATTCACCTCCTGATGATATTAAAAAACCAGTGAATATTGAGCATAATGTTATCTAAGCTATCTGTTTCAGGTCAGCGGTGCCAAATATGATTTCATCTGGATGAATGGCTCGCCGATGGACTTCAAGAAGTTCAACGACTATTACATGGACAACTCGAACGGAAATGAAAATTGCTTGGATGTGGGTTTTGGTGCTATCGGCTGTTTTGGTGAACCAGCAATTACTTTTTTTCTCCTTTAGATGTCGCACGGAGATACCTGGAACGACATCCCCTGCCACATGCCCGAGCTGGTCGTGTGCCAGAAGAAAGCCACTGTAAGTAGATGTGAACAGACCAACGTTGACTTTTCACTTGTTTTCAGCACGTATCGTCCGGGAAATAAGCACCGAGTTGATGTGGATAAATTATACATTTTATGTGTATTTGCAAGCATATACTAACTCACACGCAGGGGCGTAGGTGACCTAAGTTATCGGCGAAGGGCAGCGACATTTGGCAGGGGGCAACCGGCAATTTGTTCGAAAGTTCAGCGCCGCAGGGGAAAATTTTGCAAAAAAAAGGTTACATGTTAAAGGGCACGCTCAGGGACGTTTTTTTGGAAAAAAGCAAAGATAACTGCCGCGGCCGGGGGTCGAAGCCGAGTCTGGGATCGCCAGGCGGGAACCTGGGAGGCGTGGATGCTTACCAGTCAGCCACAGCTACAAACGCAAAGGAGGGAAATTGCCTGCCACGGGACGGGCACGCAGTGCGCATGGTCCCTACGTCCATCGGGTGTTCACGTTGGGACGAGTACACGGCCCCTCCCTGAACGTGTGCTTTCAACGTACAGTCCGCTCTCGTTTGAATGGTCTAAGATCTTAGACAAATTTTGTTTTAGAATGCCGGGTTACGGTGGGTGCTAAAAGTCGGGCAAAACCGAACCCGGGACGGTCGCCTGGGGCAAGCGCTTTACATAGATAGACCACTCGGCCATGGGAGGGACAGGGGGAGGGGAGGGGGCCAAGGGCTATGAAGGGTTGGAGGCCGCGGCCGCCGACCTGGGTTTTTTAACGAGCATGGACTGTACCTTTAATGAGTGGCCCGATACACGAAGTGAACATGATGCTGTTGCCAAACGCTCTCGTGAAAAGGTCGAAGGAGAAGCAGAAGCGCGCGATTTTGACCATTTAGTTATATATCGAAAGCTCTCGCAAAGGTGAGAAAACAAGCGCTTCGCGTTTTTCAGTTTGGCAATTTCATTCACACCATTTAGGACCAAAATCCATGGGTTCAAGGCTAAAGCTATCAGGACGGCGATGAATTCACGCTTATTTAAGAATCCATTCGATATCTGACATAAATTTTCGAAAACGGAACGCGTTTTTATCTCGCTTTTTCGAGGGCGTTCAAATGATGTAAGAATCATCTCGATCCAAGTTTTCTGCGGCCGCTAGAGCTGGGGCGACTTTTTTGGGATACCACGTATGTAAAAGTGATGGACGAGGTCCATATGCTTCTTGCACTCTATCCCAGAAAAATAACATGTTTTTGGTCTGTTCGCTGGATTCTTCTGGAAACACAACTGGAAACTAATACAAGTCAAAATAGGTTACCCCATATATGGGCGCTACGTTGAGACGTTGGTACAGTTATGGTCCGAAAGGTTCTCTTACTTCTCGGCGTCGTGGCCATCGTGGCCGCAGAGGTTTGGAAAGACTTTAGGAAAGGGTTATGATCGATTGCACCATTTAGTTGGGTTGCGAGGAGGGATGGACACTCGGAAAAGGGACCGACAAATGCTACAAGGTTTGCTGCTCCCTTTTGTTCATTTGTGTCTTCAAGTGGCTCGAGGATGCCACCGACTACAATAGGGCGCACGTCGTCTGCAAAGAATTTGGCGCCGAGATGCCCAGCATACACTCTGACGCCGAGAACGCGGCGGTGCATGGTTAGCATGGTTTTAAAGAATTTTTCACTGCTGAAAGGTGCAAAAGGAATTTTTTTTTTAGCAATGGGTTTTCCGAAACAGCGGATCCGACTCGGCGCGACTCGGGTAAGTGCGCAGTGTCGTTAGTAAGATTAAAAAACAACCAGGGTTGAAAAGCCGCTTCGCGACTTTTCAACCCTGGCCCCGTTTTGGACCAATGAAAGTTTACGCTTTGCATAATTCGGCTCGACACACGCGGAAAAAAGTGAAAAATGCTCTCTCTGCTTCTTTATATAGGCTACCCCCAGTTCCGGCGTATGCTAATTGATTCCTAACAAAGAGGGTCTCGAATTTTGCAACAAAAACTGAAATTTAATGTCGAAAACAGGCTATTTTGATAAATCTCATATGCGTGCAGTCATCTCCAGACCATTACGCTCCTAATGACGTATCAAACATGCCCCTAACTACTTTCCTTCTTGGGATACGACTGGAACAACCTGACGGAAGCTGCATGCAAATGCACACAGACACACACAGACACTATTTTTTTATATATAGTAGGATTAGAAATGTATTATCCTAAAACCACGCGTATAGTTCCGGGTGAAAATTTTCATGTTGGCGAACTGCTGGATTCTGTATTTCCGTAAAATGGTGTGGTTGTTTTTTTTGGCGCTTTATGCAAATATCTCGGTTCGCGATTGGGATTTTCGCGATTTGGTTTCAATTATCAATAGCATTTCGACTATTTCGAGCAATTTAAGTGATTTAATGCAAGGAATTGATAGCAAGAATCCTGAGAATCATCTCATTTGCCTTGCATAGCTTTTGCGGCGAGCTGCCCACTACGCACATTGTTTGGTGTCATTTGTCTTTGTACGTTGCCCAATTGTACCGGAACGAAACATCAGATTTTAGGGTCGAACTAGCTTTCTATCTCTTACACTTGACGTAGTGTAGTGACCTAGAACCTTACCATGCTAAAACATTACTTCCAGTTTGGCAGCGGCAAGCATGACTTCCAATGGGCCAACGGGTCGCCGATGGACTATACAAAATTTGACGATGATTTGATGAGTAACGGATACGGCAATGAGGATTGTTTGGACGTGCGTCCAGGCATTTTTTGCATTTCTTTTCAAGAAAGGCTAAAGTACAAGAATACTCCTTTAGATGGCCGAGCTGGATCGTTGGAACGACTTTCGCTGCGACGTGCCGGAAAATATTGTGTGCCAGAAGAAGGCGATCGTAAGTGGTTTTTACGGACGTCTAGATGAATTTTATACCAATAATTTTCTAATTTTCAGCATGTCTCTTCCGGGAAATAAGTATCTACATTGGTGATGATAAATCATATTCTACAACTAGTTCTTGCTCTATCATAAAACCACAAGAGTGTGACCTCCTCAGCGTCTAGGCTTGCATAACAAGGCCGTATATTTTATTAACAAGATTCCGGCAAGAGACCACATAACGGTAAAGCTCACTGCTGCCTTTTTCACGTGGTACTGCCTCGGAAAAATCACCCATGAAGTTTGCGACAACAGACCGCTCCGGTTGCTTTGATCCGACCGCTTCGATGTCAAAAAGTGAGCTTCATGAAATTCAAGGCAGGGCCGATACATAGAGCCTCACGGCCCAAACGCTCTTCCAGATATGGTTGCAAAAATTCTCTTGCTCTCCGCTGCCATTGCCGCCGTAGCTGCTGAGGTTTAGAATACATCTATAAAATTTTCTAACCGGCCTTAATCTATTAGTTAGGATGTGAAGATGGATGGACTCTGGGCAAGGGGACCGATCAGTGCTACAAGGTTCGCTTTGACCAGTTTTCAATATGGCTCTTTTCGAGCGCTTCGACGATCTGACCGACTACAATCGGGCGGAGGTCGTCTGCAAGGAACTTGGCGCCGAGCTGCCGAACATCCATTCGGAGGCTGAGAATGCGGCAATACATGGTGGATACTTTTATAATTCTTAGTAATTTTAATAATAATTTTTATTTTTTATCCTTTAATTGTTTGAAAAGAAGAACAAAGCCATTTTTTCAGCTCTCGATGTTCCGAACCAGCGGCTACGACTTGGCGCAACGAGGGTGAGTTTAGAGCATACCAAAAAATTTTTCTTTATTTTATGAGGATTTTGGCATAAGATTAGTTTCATTTAGCGGATTCTGGCTTGCTAGCGGGTTAGCGGGGAAGGAGGTACTTTTGGTAAATTGAGTCCCTTATCTTAAATTAACTTATTCGGAGCTATTTTTAAAACTCGTTGTAAAATTTCTTTGATGCCCTATCGAATAGCGTTAACAGAATGTCGAAAAATAACGCAAATTCAAAAAACAAGCTTTATCTTTTTCTTATTCTTCAGGCTTAGTTTTGCTTTTCTTCTCGCGTTTTTAAAATTATTGTGTTTCGACCGAGAATTATAGGACTTGGTATTTCTTTTGATGCTCTACCGGCTCGCGGTGATGCAGCCCCCAAAAAATAATAAAATATGGAAAAATCTACGAGTCCCCCCCCCGCTAACGAACCAGAACCACCTGGCCATAAAAAGTACACAAACTTCCCTGCTTTGCATCATCTACCAAAAAATTTTTCTAGTTCGGAAGTGGCAAATATGACTTCAAATGGTCTAACGGTTCCCCGATGGATTTCACAAAGTTCGACGACGCCTCTATGGGCAACTCGTATGGCTATGAAAATTGTCTGGACGTGAGCGCCGGGCTAACTTCTTCTTGAGAGGGGAGAAATTACAATAGCACACTTTTAGATGGCCGAAGTAGATCGTTGGAACGACGTCCGTTGCGACATGCCGGAAATTATTGTATGCCAGAAAAAGGGAAGCGTAAGTGATTTTTTAGGGGCGTCGACGTCTAAATACCCGTTTTTCTATAAGTTTTTTTCAATAAATCTATAATTTTCAGCATATCTCAACCGGGAAATAAACCCGAGCGTCAACGAGAATAAATCTTGCAACTTGTTTTTGCTTGGTTACTTTAATATAACAGCAGAAAGGTCCCGTTTATTCAGAGTCGCATGGCGCACCCTGGCTTGTATAGAAGTGCTGTTATCCTACCTTTTACATGGTGTCCCAGACACCAGCTCTAACTCCACTCACTCGACGGAAACGCATGGAATCGGAACGATTGTTACACCATCCGAAAGGCAGCGCGAGGTCGCAACAATCTTCAAAACGACCTTTTTATTAAACCCGCTATTTCACAAGCCGTTTTGTAAAATTCTGCCTTTTTTTAGGGATGCATACCAGCTAATTTGCCAATTTCTGCAAGCAAAACGGCCGGAAGCAACCGTTAATTAGGTGCAGGGGCTGTTAAACTTTTAAACTCGTCGGAAGAGGCCTCGTTCACATAAAGACGTGTTTACGAAATTGTTGCAAACTCGTCTTTTCAAGGGCTTACGATGACATAACTAGCATTCCGATCCGATACTTCTGCGTCGAGTTGGAGGGGATGTCTTTATCTTGACACCCTGTATGATTTTTCAGGTTTTGGAATCGCTTTTTCATGAAATTTTTAGAATGCGGTCGAAGGGAAAATTCGGCCTGAACCGACTGACCTGAACTGCCGCTTAAATTTTCCAGTGTCATATGAAAGTCAAAACAGCGGCGGCAATAAAGGCCCCACGGGTCGAACTTGGGTCCAGACATGTTTGAAAAATTTTTCTTGCTCTTCGCCTTCGTGTGTACAGTATCAGCCGAGGTTTGGGATAGCTTCAAGGATCTGCTAACCGATGTCCGCTTTTAGTTGGGTTGCCCAGATGGGTGGACGCTGGGCAAGGGGACCGACAAATGCTACAAGGTATGTTTTATGGCGTTAGAACTTCCTAACTCGCGTTGTTGATACCATATTTCCTCTAATATCGCCCCTCCAATATACCCCCCAAGCAATTTTTTTCGAATATTTTAATTATGATGGAATCTACTGGCCAAAAAAGTGAAGGCATGTCGCCGAAGAGTACCTGAAAAATGATTTCGCTGCGAAAAAACTAAATAATAATAAAATTTGAGTAACAACGCAATATTCTCGCGGTGCAAACGATTTTTTTGGGTGCGTGACAACTAAGTGTCGTAATGCCGTGTAAGGCACCCAATGTCACGATTTCGGTGATTTTCGGTTCAATATTCGTCATTAAAACGTCTAGCATGTTGAAATTCAAGGGTTTTCACGTCCAAAAAGGGGCAAAGGATCAGGCGGCGCGGTCGCGTTGCGGTCGCATCTGGCTGTTTGCCAGGAATCAACGCTGGGGGCCGTGGACCAGATTTCAGAGCGCCTTTAAGAAGCAAAAATTGCCAAAAACGCTTTCGTTTAAGCTTCGTACTGTGTTCCTGAGTGGTCCTGAGCAGTCTGAAATGCTAAAAATCGTTGGAATTGCTCAAAATCACGAAACGTCTATCCCTCCCTCTAAGCCTTTCTAAGCCTAAGCCCTAAGCCCCCTCTCCTGAGGTATTTGAAAAAATATGCCTCCTGGAGTTATATTAGAGGAAATACGGTAGCTTATCCATGACACAGCTCCTTGCGGGCCTGATGGACTACGACAAATCGGAGGCTGCCTGCAAGGCATTTTCAGCGGAATTGCCTAGCATTCACTCGGATGCGGAAAATGCGGCGGTTTATGGTAAGTTTCTCAGATCCCATCAAAATTATACCACAAAATGTAGCATACACCGCTAACGGCGCGCACGTTCGACTTGGGGCAAAACGTGTGAGTGAGGGAGCTCTTGGCCGTTGGCAACCATTCCCATTCCAGTCCGGCCCCGGAAAATACGACTTCAAATGGAACGACGGATCCCCGATGGATTACAAACGATTCAACGACCAGTACATGGACAATACAGCCGGGAAAGAGGACTGTTTTGACGTGAGCGTTTTTCGTTGACGAAACTGCCGACAAAACGACCCCCCGCCGGCCGACCGTTACCTACTGTATCTCGGCTCCCCGGCTAGCTAACGGGCTGCAAGGTGTGCGAAAATACTCGTCAGATCAAGGCGAACCATTTGGTATACTTTACGCGTGAGGTGAGATGGGATGATCTGGCCCAATATAACTTTTCCTGTTGTTAGGCTGCATAGGAGCAACAGCGTTTTTGGTTCCGGCAGACACCATTGATTCGTCTTTAAATCTTTAGAAACGAACGCTATTTTCAGCTATGGCTTGAGGACCGCTGGAACGACATCCATTGCACCGCCCAGGAGATTGTGGTTTGCCAGAAGCCGGGAAGCGTGGGTGTTAGAGCGGAATTGCGATCCGCATTTTTAAAATTAGTCGCACGCCATAACAGCTAGCGAGAGATAGTGAGAGAGAGGAGAGAGAGGGAGGGAGAGAGAGTGAGAGCCAGAGAGAGAGAGGGAGCGAGAGAGAGAGGGAGAGAGAGAGAGGGTGAGAGAGAAACTTATCTATAAGTGGCTGTCCGTAATTTTCGACGTCATTTTCGCGTTAATTGGCTTTCAACCGTTATCTTTTTTCAGCATGTGTCGTCCGGATAATCACGAACGGATTTTTGATAAATTATGCACGGAAACTTGGCTTTGCACGGTGCCAACTGGTTTTATAAAGTCTTCATTAAAAACATATATAGCTTTACACTAGTTCAACCCATAGTGGTCGCGGACGAATGCGTCATCAGTATTACATGGCCCACTCAACGTGTATATGCGAGGACAACAGCCATAGAAAACTTTATTTCAATAACATGGCCGCATCAACGTCTCACTCCTTCGCCGGGCCTTGTTCCTTGTTCCCAGCCTAAAGAAAATTTTCCAATTCCGTGAAAAGCCGACCTTCTTGCACATTCCCACCATCTCCTTGTTACAGTCATCCTCGTAATAACGATGCATGGTGGTCACCGCCTGGTCGAGGCTGTTGCACAGCTGGAATTAAGATGTTCCATGCACATTGCGTCGCGATCCTGATGCTAGGCATTTTAGACACACCACTAGACAGTTTTTCGTGGTATCCGTTGGACTTGGCACACCCGGCGACCAAAACCCGTAGTCCCACTCCGACCCGTCAAGCCAGTCAAAGGCACCATCGGCACCCTATAACGTGCCGTTACGGAACAACGAATTAGCTTCACCCGCTTGGCCCCGAGCCAACAGTCCTCGTGCTCCGCTTCTTTGGTCATTTCTAAAAGTATCTTAGGTATCACGGAGAGTATGTTCCTCAGGCTGCGAGATGGGGCTACGTTATGTTCCCGAAACTGCATAATGTCGACTTTGAGAATGCCGACATTTTATGTAAATTTTCCGTAAAGCCGCTGACCCACCGAGGATGAACTCCTTTTCGAGGAAAGTGAGTGCCGAGGCCAACGTCGCATTCCAGCCAAGACATTGCTCTTGAGCGGCACCGCTTTTTAGGGACGGCGTTAGCTGGATTCAAGGCGTTTTCCGACAAATTGTCTACCAGCGTAAAGTATCCCAAATTATTTGCCTTGTCCTGACGAGTATTTTGGTATACTTGACAAAATTGTAGCACAACGCGGAGCAAAGATACAGTAGGGGGGATGCACCGCAACCCCTGCTAGACCAGAAAGGTTTCGGGGAATGCGTTAATTTTTAGCGTCGATGCGTCCAATAGCATCCAGTAGCATTTTAAAAACTTCAAAATACAGTTTTTATCTCTACTTACCTTATAGCAACTTCCGGTCCATTTCGACCCCTTCCACCCCTCGTCGCACTTCGGCGTCTCCAACTTGACGGTGGCCTGGCCGATGGGGCGCTTGCAGATGGCTTTGTTCTGTTGGTCGCAGAATTGCTGCTCGAGGCTCCCGTTACCCTAAAGCTTCCTGCTCTGATTCCAGCATCTCGAAAAAAATTGGTAAACGTCGCTTAACGGGGGGTGGAAATAATTTTTGCATATCTATAAAAATATCCTGCTATTTTAAAAAGGCCATCGAATAAATCGTCAAAAATTATACGGCAAGATTTAATTTCCGTCCGAAAAACATGATTTTAACGATTTTTAATTGATTAAGCCTTTTGGCTAAATAAAGTAATAATTAGTTAAATTGTGGTATTTCGGGCTGAAATTATTACAGTATTCCGTTATTTGTTCCCCCCCCCCGTCAAGCGACCTTTACCAAAAAATTATTAGTAAGGCGTTTAGAAAAAACGATACAAAAAAGACCTTTGACCCACGTTTTTGCGCAAGCAATGCATCTTGGAGGTACTGTCTGGCTTGCGGCCCTTGTTCCAGATAATGCTGCCCACATCCACCAGAGTTCCATCCATCCAGTGGAACTGTGTCACGTTCCGCGTCATCTGAAACTTCTCATGCTCTTTGGGTTGGGTTGTACGTAGCGCGGCTTATCCCGCGGTGTCGCACTCCAAAACCGTCTCCCTGTTGGACTTGTGGGGTGTAAAGGATACCAAGATGTTCGCCTTGGCCTGACGAGTATTTTGGTCTAATTTACAACCCTGTAGCACCATCTCTAGACGAGGTACGACAGATCGGGACAAATTTTCGTTTTTTTTCCTCACGTACCAAATAGCCTCCAACCCACGCGTCACCTCCGGCATTATGTTTGGAGATCATCCCTAGATTTGGTTATCATGTTGCTGTGATTTATAGCCTTCTACCTTCGACAAACTGATTCTCCTCGTCGCTCAGAATCGACGTCAAATGCGCACCCGCCAACGCGCATTCCGCTTCGGCGTTCCAGAAATTTTGGCCGTTTACCATCTACAAATACGAATCCCAAAATCCGAACTTTTCTCACCTTATAACAACTGCCCATCACCTTATATGTTGTCCATCCTTCTTCGCAGTCCTAAAATGTTATATCTCGTCTTATTTCGTTGGTATATTGCCTTCGTGAAATTGTCACTATATATACAGGGTGTCCCAAAAAAAACCCCTACCTAGCCGTCCGCAGTCGAGTCCGAATTTTTACGATTTAGGTATCTACCGAAAGCTCTCGAAAAGGCGAGAAAACAAGGAGGATTTGGTTTATTTTTTATTATGTATTTTTATTCGCCAATTTTACGTCTAAAAACCATCAAACTGCTGATCTATGCAAAATCTGCATGCTAATTGCGAAATTCATGTTGAAAAAGGACCATTTTTTAGAAAAACCTCAAATATCGATAGATTAGGTTCGATTTTAGAAAACGAAACCCGTTTGTTTTTTCGCCTTTCCGAGAGTTTTCGATTGATAGTTAAATCGTAAAAATCGGACACGACTGCGGACCGCTAGGTTTAATCGGGCACCCTGTTATTTCGTATAATTTTCCATGAGTTGGCTCATTTTTAAGTGCTGTATTACAAACTGTCTACACTAATAAAAATTAATATAATTCAATCAAAACGATACCTCTGCGGCCACACCCACAAAAAGCACGATAGGCAAAAGGGTTTTCAACATGGCGACGGAAACAAAGGACCCCCATAATGGTGCTCCTTTTATCCTTTCAGACGATTGGAGATTCATCTAGACCCCAGCGACCGGAAGCTTTTTGTATCCGGTTGGCGACTGAATTTCGATGGACCTTGGCCAGTAGGAAAGTGGCCGGATGTCTGCTTCCATAAAAAGTGCAATTTTTAACTGCTTAAAGTTTACAGGGTGTGCAGAAAAAAAGCCTACAGTTTGCACCGAAATATCTCACTAACGGAAACGAATGAAACCATCGTCACCTTGCCAGAATGCTTAAACATGCTGGGTATGAAGAATAAACACAAGTTACTTTTGCGATTTTGGACGACTCGTTAAGGATTTTTGAACATTTTTGAAAAAGTAAAAAACTTTGAAGCTATAAAGTATGGGACATTTCGGATATCAAAATGAAGCTCTCGGAGTGCGCTATCCAACGAGCGGTCAGGATTTTTGATTCGTTTAACTAGCCGTCAATAGGAACATTCGGAAAATCCAAACTTTTTGCAGCAAAGATTCTAAATAAAATTTTCTGACAATCCGCTCTTTCTGATATTTTGCAGGTAGCCATTACATATTTACTACTAAGAACTTTTGGCATCAAGTCTTTCAAAATCCCAATCAAAAATTTTTGGCATTTTGCCAAGTCGCCAGAATTTGTAAATTTTACGCTAATATTTCTGAAATGTTAACATAGTTCTCTTTGGCAAACGGGATTACATCTAAAAAATACAAAAAATGACGGCGGCCATGTCCTTTCTATGTTCAACTCGGAATCGCCCCCTTCTGGAAATGTTCGGATTTTCCAAATGCTCCCATTGACGGCTGGTTAAACCAATCAAAAATCCTGACCGCTCGGTGGATTTTGATACCCGAAATGTCCCCTTAACTCATGAAATGTCCCATACTTTATCGCTTCAAAGTTTTTTACCTTTCAAAAATCTTCAAAAATTCTTAACGAGTCGGGGGTCGTCAAAAATCGTAAACCTGTGTTTATCCTTCTTACCTAGCATGTTTAAGCATTCTGGCGAGGTAACGATGGTTAGCTTCGTTTTCGTTAGTGAGATATTTCGGTGCAAACTGTGGGCTTTTTTTCTGCACACCCTGTACGTTGTTCTTTTTCAGAAAGTAGGGGGAAGACTTGCTTTCCTTTTTTCCACTTTTCAAGCTTAGAAAGAAATGGAACAGAAATTTTGGTAACCGTTTCTAAAGTTAAAAAGGGGTTTCGAAACCGCATCAGTACAACGTTATAGGATGAAGCAAGCAAGCTAGATGACGGCAAAGATCATTTTGAACAGTGATGTATTTTTGTGTTGTGTGGATTGCTGCTTTTTCGATTATTTCTTTGTTATAGCTTTTTTATAATAAACAGTTTATTCAGCGCAACAGCGATCGAAATTACGGCACCGCGGTCTGGAAATCAGCTGTAAACGAAAAATACGAAGAACGAGAGTAAACACCCCGTGGATCGCAAAAGAGGGGGTTCAAGCCTTGAAATTCAAAAACGTAAAACATAGCCTGTTTTGTACCTAATTATCCGCGAGTTCCGGAGTTTTAATTTCGAAAGGCTGGGGAGAGTTCTTGTATAAAATGGCTATAGAATTCCGAGTTGTATTACAAACACTCCGCGGGGGGTTCATCGCTAGCCCTCCCGGGGGGAAAAGCGAAACGGTATCGCTCCGGTGAAAATTTTCAGCCCACAGCTACGGTATATTTGGGGTTCGCTGCGGGATTGAATTCCCCGTGGGTCGGCGGGCGTACGGACATTAGAAATTTATAAATCAACTATAATAATTTTCTTGACGCGTCCGTCTGTCTGTCCGTCTGTCTGAAGCCGAATTCAACTCGAAGGGGAAAGGAGCTAGAGCTTAGCTCTCTTCGGATTCGGATAGAGCGTGGTCAGAAACCCCCAAACTGATAAAAAAAATTACGAAAAATTTTTCGTTTAAATTATTAAATTTAATTTTGAAAGATTTTTCCTTAGTAAAAGGGGTGGGGGACGGAGGTTGGGGTGATTTTGGACATAGTGAGCCAGGCCGCGCGCGTTTCGGCGAAGGGGAGGAGCGCACAGGGGGTAGCCCGAAGTCCAGCCGCTTGCAGCGGCGAAGCCGCTGGAAGCGGCTGGTAGTAGATAGATAACCTAACGTACATAACGAAGGTCTGGTTCGAAACTACGCGCGGATTGAAGGTGTGGCAACTAGTCCCTAATTGTCAAAGCCATACCACTGGGATTTCACATAAAGCGGCCACCATCGCTTTGTTACAGGCGATATCATTCCACCGCCCCGACATCCAATCTGATAGGTACAGCTAAAATTTGGGCGAAACTAAAAAAAACATATTCTAATTACCTCAACGCATGACTCTCCGTCATTGTGGTTATTGGGTTCATCTCCAATCCATGGAGCATGTCGCCTCCTGGAAAATTGGCTGTGCAATGCCGGAAGCGCCTAGTTAAAGCCATACAGATAATTTGCAGCTGTAGATTGCACTCCTTCGAATTCTTTTGGCCCGGTACGAGAGTATCCAAGCCATAGGTGCTGGAAAACGGTGAAATGGAGTTTATTGAAGAGTGTAAAAAGAAAGGAACCCACCTTTCTGTGGAAATCCGGCAAGGCTTGAGCTTTGCGCATTAAATCGTTGTTTTGCAGAGCAAGTGCTAAGAAATATGCTTCTTGAAACGGCGATTTTGGTAAATTACCGTGGACTTGTTTGTTCTGTGTATCCGATTTTATGACGCCAAGGTCCGCCGTTGGTCCTCCATGCTCCTTGCAGAGCTCGCGGCTTCGCGCCCATGTGGAATTAGCGTCGATAATCTAGACGACAATTAAAACCTTTGGCAATATTAGTCATTCCGTCACCAACCCGTATATAGCAGCCCTTATGCCTGAAAAGTTATAAAACGCCAGGTGCTAGGGCTGAAAAGGTATAGACGAGAGCAAGTATTCGCCCACAAGGGAAGCAGGAAGCAGCTGGGGAGATGTTTTTCTCAGGTTCCATGTCGAGAAACAGTACCTTATAACAGGAGCCTTCGATCACGGTGAAGCCGAGGTGTGCCGAACATTCTTGGCCCTAAACAACAATTAGATCTATGACGATTGAGCAAGTTAGTGCCCTGTTTTTTGAGGACGGTTCTGTTGCGGTCGGGGCAATGCCGGTCGATGGATCTGCCGTCGCCCCTTAAGACAGCATTTGGTTTGGTATCACAATCTCGCAGTTTCATAATCTCGCACCTTTAGAATCTCGCAATTTCAGTATCTCGCAATGTCACAATCGCAATTTGACAATCTAGCATTTTCATAATTTCGCATTTTCTTAGTTTCGCATTTCCTATGGCCTAACTGCATTTCCGAAGCTACCCGAAATGCCCCCTGTTTGTACTAACCACTAGCATCTACTAACCACCGCAAACGTTAGTTCGTGACCAACCAAGGGGAAACGTATCGTTTTGGCCAAACCTGTTAGAGCCTTCAACGTTAGGACAAACCTTCAAGGTAGTCTGGAACCAGGAACACCAAAAAAAGACAGCCAGACAGGACTGCACGAACCAGACCAATCACTGCTCTCATCATTTCTTCCGAGGGGGGCAACTTGTATATTTCGAGCGTGTTCGAGCGTTCTGCAATTCGAAGCGGGTTGTAAGAGTCGAGCGTTTTCGATTGAATGGAAAGGTCCGTAATTTTGTTTCGTGATTTCAGCGTGGTTTACGAGGACGCGATTTCCAACATAATAATGCTTAAAATTGATAGTATTTGCTAATACCCGCTCGTTGCGTCGGTCAATTTTGTTCGCTACAATATATAGTGTCGACTAAAAGTAAAAAAGTCAATACATTTTTTTCAAAGCAGGAATCGGGAAGGGATTGACTTTGAAACAACCGACTCACAGAAGTCTATCTGATTTTTTTAATTAAAGGCATAACTAGCAGCATGCATTTCCTGTAATATCGCAGGCATATATCATACGACTACAGGGTGTCTCATAAAAAACCCCTCGACATTTGGACCCCTTATACCTAATCGAGCTGTAATTTTGAGGAGTGGTGCGAAAGGCCAAAAACTGTATAACGTGCTTGGTAAGAAAGTTCCAAGTGGCAGGAGACGCGAGAAAACCCGAAAATACCGAAAAACACTGAATTTTTTTGGCTAAGCTCAGGCTCATGCATCCGAAATTGGCATAAAATCCAAAGCTTTTGTTAGTAAGGCGAACGCGTTTTTCAACAATTTAACGTTATAAAAACAAAAGAGAGCTCATGCTTTGCCAAGGACAAGCTCAATGGCTCCTCCATCCATTTCGCCACCCCCGTTGACGTGAGCCATGGGTCTGATGGTCAAATGGTTGCTTATTTGCTTATGGATCTTTTATCGCGTTTTCTCGCGTATCGGGCCACCTAGAGCTTTCTAAGTAAGCACGTTATATAGAGTTTGGCCTTCCGCACCACTCATAAAAATTTCAGCTCGATCGGAAATAAGCCGGCCAAATCTCTGTTTCGAGTGGCGCGGCTGCCAGCACACCTTTGGCACGGCTGCCGAATGTCGCGCCGGGCAGCCGTGCCGTGACATGCCGAGGGGCGGTTTTTTATGAGACACCCTGTACAATGACTAAAAAACACGAGCGCGCGTCTTTCAGAAAACGCAGGACAATTACAAGGCGGTCAAATGCTCGAATGTTCGAACTTTACAAAACGCTCGAACGCTCGAACTTTAAAAGTTGCCACTGAAGGGGCCAACTGTGGCTGAAGCGGGGGGCAAGGCGCTTTTGTCAAGAAAAATCGTCATGACTGGAATGAAAGGCGTCCAGTCATAACAAATTCGGCCGTCACTTTAATTTAACCACGGGAGGGTTTTTGGCCCTCTGACGTAAGTGTGTGCCGGGGCGCGCTTTAGCAGTGACAGAGTTCCGAGCGCTCCACATTACGAATTTTCGTAATGTGTATATAACGGAACTTTTTCCAGCGTAATATCTTTCTATCAAATGCTTCTGCGAAAAGTTTAATAATATTTTGTTAATTGTGTGTAATTGATTGTTTCACAGATTCTTCAGCACTTGACGTACAAACTATTTTCAGATGGCGCGTAACAGGCTCAAATGCCCAGTCACAGATTGTGATTATAATAATTGTTACTCAAACAATTTGAAGCAGCATTTGTTGCGCGAGCACGGTATCACGGACTATCGGCCACCACCGCCCGAGGCAAAGGAATTTGCATGTGAGGTCTGCGACAAAACGTATGGAACGGCTCGAACACTGCGCGAGCATAATCTACGGAAGCACGGCGCATCAACTTCCAGCTCGAAGCTCAAGTGTCCCGAATGCGAGGAGCCCTTTGTCACCCAGAAACAGCTAACTGCACATTATGCTGAAGTTCATAGCGCCCAGTAGGTCAAATGCTTTTATCATATCTCCATATAGGCATGAGATTCACAAAACCACCGTTGAAAACATGAAAGTCTTTCGTCAATGGCTTAAGACTACCGAAAACGAGTCCTGCACCTCCTTCAATCTTCGGAGGACCTCTGGCGCGAACCACTATTTCCGCTGTAATTATGCGGCTAAGACGGGAAGAAATGATAGCGATAAATACGAAAGCTGTACTGCGTTCTTGAAAGTAAGCATGAATTTCTGAATCAGGTGATATATGATACTTGTTAAGGCTACGGTTTCCGATACTGGAGAGGTCGATATCGAATATTGCTCGGATCATTCACATGGGTTTGACCCCACACTTCTTGGAATGGAGGGAAGTCTCCTGGAAGATAAAATACGTGATTTTCTGGAAATCGGTGCGTAAATAATACATAAAGAACGGGCTTCAGGTGTTGAGCCTAAAAAGATCGTGGAGGATCTCCGCCGTCCGTATCTAGAAGAAGAAAACCCAGTCTGTCATGACTATTATGTTACCGTCGAAGACGTGCGCCGTGTTCGAGAACGTTTCCAATTGGTCCCTGAACGACAGCACAAAGAAGACCTACTCTCACTGCAAATTATGCTTGAGAATTGTAAAAACGATACCATCGTATATTATCAGCCAGCCGCCTCTCCACCGTCGTCAAATGGATTCCTGCTCAGTAAGGAAATTATTTTCAGCAATCAATTGTTGCAGATCTTATGTCGCCGCTTCAGCAACAGTGGTTGAAGCGTTACGGAGCACGAGGCTGTGTGCTAGATGATACGCACGCGGTTACTGCGTATTCACTCCGACTTACTGCAATGATTGTGCTGGACGGCCATGATCGCGGTCTTCCCGTTGCCTTCCTCTTAAGTTCCCAACTCCGCGTGGAAGATGTTAGGGTCTTATTCGACAGCATCAAGTTTGTCTGAATTCTGAAAATATCATCGTTGATATATTTGTAGAGCCATCCATCCGACTTTCCATCCGAAATACGTAATGACTGACGATGATCACGTTTTTTGGAATGCCTATAATGCCGTATTCCCAAATAATACCTCGAAGAAAGTCTTATGTAAATGGCACGGCTTACAAACAATCCGGCGCAACACGAAACGACTAAATCAAGTTGGTCCTAAGTAACCTCATAAAGATTTTTTTAGAAGTCTCTAAAAGAGCCTATAATGCAAATGATGACTCTTCTTCATAACATCATCGATCAAAGCGAATTCGACAAGCAACTTCACAAAATTCAGCAGTTTTTGATTTCGCACCAGGAACTGGAATTTTTGGATTATCTAAAGGTAAAACAAATAAGTAGGACTTACATTAGTAACCTCCTTGAAGAAAAAATTTCTCGGCCGTATGAATGAATGGGCTGCATGGGCGAGGATCGATGCTCCTTTCGCGACGTCCATGGCCGCCGAAACCTTCAACCGCCGCCTGAAAGGAGAAATACTACAAGGAAAAACCACCGGCCGCCTGGACACGCTCGTGCACAGACTGCTTGAACACCCAGTGAAGTACAGAGCTCGAATGGCTGTCCAGGATATCCGCTACTCTTCCAACACCAAGCGACAAGCGGAAAACAAGCGTCGGCATCGTCGCGCCGTCGACCAGTTCACCGCAGACATCATCGTCGAGGCCGGCAACTGCTATTCTATCAAATCGTCCGGTGGTGAGCGACGCTATCAAGTGGTTCAATATTCAAAATGCCCGTGCGACCCAGTAAGTCCATAAGATATCCTGCAAAACTAATTTAGAACGAAAATTTACACTGTTCTGATTGCCATGCCTGCGCCTATAGCTTCAAATGTGATTGTACGTCGAGCACGATGGCAGGCATTAACTGCAAACACATTCACATGATCTTCATGCAATGTAATAATTTAAAACAAAAATGAACCGTCTTTAGTCCCTGAACTTGGCTCGCGCTCTGTCTCAACTCCAAGCGCAAGCCCGGCGCGCCATGATGAAGCCTTCTTGGATGCCATCGAACCTGAAGATCAGCATGCGCTTCTGGCACCAGTTGACGACGAGCCAGCCAAGTTAGTCAAATACCTTAACTTATCAATCTGAAAGTGATGAAAATGCAGCTCCTGGCACTTCTACCAACGTCGTTGCCCAGATCAAAAGCATCAAGGAAGAAATTATTAATGTAAGACATCCCTTATTCAAAAACCCGTGCGTTTTAGAACTTGGTCGGCATTCGATTTGATGTTTTGAGATATGGCGGAGAAACAGAAGAGGATTTGGACTTTGCTATCAAGGCGAACGAACAGCTCAAAGAAATTAGCGCCGCCTTTGCGAGAAGGAATCCAAACCTCAGTGAATCATTAGGCAAACGCATCGAAAGAGATGGCCCCATTCGCGAAGCAGCCGAGCGTTTCCGTGCAGAGCGCCTGGAACACCGCGCCACGAAACGAGCTAAGCTTACTTTGAAACCGCCCGATAACCTACCCTACTCGCCCTAAAGTTGTTGAAATTACGGTTCTTGTTGTTATTGTTGTTTTTGTTGTTATTATTCCATAAAATGTTGTTTATTATGAAAAAAGAAACATTTGAGCACAACATGCATGTTTACGCTAGAAAAAAGTTCCGTTATATACACCTTACGAAAATTCGTAATGTGGAGCGCTCGGAACTCTGTCACTGCTAAAGCGCGCCCCGGCACACACTTACGTCAGAGGGCCAAAAACCCTCCCGTAATTTAACCTCCGTCATGTCATGTCTGCAGGATCCTTCAAACATGCCTGTCAAAACGCCTGACCAACGAAGGAAAAATGGCAACAGTCGTTGGAAATCGGCAGTTTTCGTATGACACACTCCATGGTAGAATTATAGAACAAAATTATAGAACAACTTTAGGCCAGCGCTTGGATATATACATACAAATTCTTTTGGAACAAGCAGCAAATGTGGAAAATTGTAGACAAACGCAAGGTGGAAAAGCGGCTTTGGGACTTTTCAACATTGGCCCCGTCTAATCGCAGGATATTCTTAGCTTTGCATAATTTTCAAAAATTCCGGCCGCGAAAAAAGGAACTTCAACTCAAGGAACATTGTAAGTGTGAGTGTTCAAAAAACTGAAAGATCTCGTCTATTATATGGCGCCCCAATAAGAAAAGAAGAGTTTTCCACACTCTTCAAAATCATGTTTTTATCTAAAAATGCTGTTTTACAAGCTCTTTTGTAAAACTTAGGGGTTTTGCCGGTTCCATCCTAATTTGCTAATTTGCCTCAATTTCGCCCAATCAAAATATCGCGAAGTTGCCGTTAATTAGCTCCAAAGGAATCTTAATAAAACCCTTTAATCACGTTCAGACAGCATGAATAAACAGTTATAAATTAATTACGAACGTTAATTAGGACGAAATTCGCCAAAAAACGGATTTTTTTGAAAACCACCTCCCCAGACCTCCCCTCCGCATCTCCCAACACCGCCCCTCCCCTCCCCACACCTTTACTTTAATTGTTCACTTTATGATACCTAAATAATAAAAACTGGATTTTTTGACTGGAATCTATAGATTTCATCCAGTTTTGCGTTTCTCTTTGAAAAAACTGCTCGGACTAGCTTCTAACAAAAGTTATGGATGTTTTAAACCAGTTCGACCAGCATTGGCTAGTTGCTTGCGGCTACGAAGGACTCCTTTGTACCGAAGACGGAATAGTTGGGAACGGAATGGGTTTCCAACTTATGAAAAACTTATTCTCACACGTTTCACGTTCATTTCACGAATTTCATCCGAATTTCCGAACCTTTTAAAACATTAAAAAAAGGTTTTGCGGCAAACGTTGCTCAATTTTGAGAGAAAGTCGTTGCTACTTCATCCTCTTCGTTCCACCCGGGTCTAGTCTCTTCGGATGGGCGCCAGCTCGTACAGGGTTCCTCGGGGCGTCCCAGCGTTTTCTCTGTGTGTGTCTTTTACTTTTTACTAGAATAGTTGTTTTTTACTAGTCACCTTTTCTCTTAACATTATCTTTCGTGTTCATATTGCTTGGCTTTCATTGTTTTTCCAATGCTCCTTTTAATTCCTTTCAGCTCGAATCGAGCGGGCGAGATGAGGTTTTCGAAGAGGCTTGTCCTGATCGGCGTGCCGCTGCTGTTCCTTTTCGTCTTCATCAGCCTTCGCATATGCGGCGTTTTCGACACTGCCGTCGATCAAAAGCGGGCTGAACTTCTAAAGCAGCTGGTTATTTTATTCATATTACCACATCTTGCTGAATTTAGTCTGAGATACGAAGGCTTAAAGCCGAAATCCACGTCTTGGAGAAGAAGATTGGCGTTCTTGCGAAAGTGAAGCGGAGATTACTGGAGAAGCAGTGGAGAAAACAAGAAATTCGTAAGCTATGGTACAATTCTTAAGTTATAGATCCCCTTCTAGAACTAGACAACGTTGCGTCAGCGGTCGAAGGTGCTGATAACATAGTTGAGGTGGATTTCGATACGTTGAATGCCTTGTCCATCTTGAGTATTCGCAGGAGGGGAACAAACCATGGATTTTTTCGACGGAAAATGACCAAATTTCGACCTTTTCAAACACTTTTCTAACTTTTTTGACGTTTTTTTGCTTTTAATCAAGTTAAGACCTATTAAATACGATATAAAAGCTTTATATTAGATTGCTCGGTGAACCTGAAATCATAGGAAAAAAGTCGGTTTCCCCTCGTGCGCATACTCAAGAACCGCTTTTTATGGTATTTTTGCCATAGTTTTCTTTTCCAGGGCAAGTTGAACGCCGAAATGCGAGGGGAAGATGCAAGGAACGCTAAAGACAGTCCTGTTCAGTTTCCTATCCGTTAGTTTTTTAATTTTGTTGTTTTTAAAACTTTATAAGGTATTTTTTCGGCGAAACTAAAGTTCAGTACCCCGCAGCCAAGATTCCCCTAATTCCATCTCTTTTTTTCGACCCGGGTGTAATGTATTATCATTTAGAGACGAACGAAGACGGATATTTTAGTTACTTTACAGCCTAGTTGTACGAAGAGTAGAGGAGATACACGATTCGAGAATGAGGGGGGCTAACAAGGAATCGTTTTTAGTTGCTCCTGGAGATTTGCGTTGTACGATTCGATAGCGCGCGGAGTTCTGCACAAATACCATATATTAAAAATTGCAAGAGGACTACGGGCTTGGAGAGATTTTCTCTGAAAAGTTCTTTGACCCGCGCTTAAGAAAATGTGAACCGTCTTGGCATTGTTACGCGAACACCGTCACCTCCCCGTAGTTTTCGAAAAATAGGATTTGTTCAGAATTTCAGGCTCTGTCGACTAAGCTATATCACATGGAAAAACGCGAAAAGCACCTAAAAACCTGCCGTTTTTTACTGTTTTCAGCTCCAAGTGAAATCGCCATTGCTGATGCCGCGCGTACCGTCCAGTCTAGAAGGGATCAGTGCTCGGCCATGCTGAATTACAGCAGCGCCAACACTGATGTGCAAATGCTGGACATGTACAACATTATCCCCTTCGATAATGTTGATGGAGGAGTGTGGAAACAAGGATGGGAGGTAATAATCAGTATGCCGCTATAGTTTTCTTCAGTTAAAATACAATGCCAACGACGTGCAACAGGAAAAACGCTTGGAAGTTTTCGTCGTGCCGCACTCCCACTGTGACCCGGGTAAAGAGAATTGCTTGGAATTCATTTTTCCCAAAGTTCATTTTTACTAAAACTCGCTAAATATCGAAACCACCCGTAGATGAGTTTAGGAAAAATGCCAATAGGCCACTGGCATGGTATTATAAACTTTCAGGCTGGCTGATGACGTTTGAGGAATACTATCAAAGTAAAACGAAAAATATCCTGAATGGAATGGTCAAGCATTTGAGCGAAAAGCCGGCCATGAAATTTATTTATGCGGAAGTGAGCGTCTGATTTTCTTGATAAAGCTGAATGTTTTAGATGAGCTTCTTCGAGATGTGGTGGGCCGAGCAAGATGAAGAAACACGCCTGAAAGTTAGACTGTATGTTTCTTTTCGGTATACTCACATAGGCTTTACAGATTGCTCAAATCGGGACAGCTGGAAATCGTTACTGGCGGTTGGGTAATGACGGACGAGGTTTATTAATTTTTCGGTTCTTTCTAATTCTCGGGGGAGGAAATCAACTTTTTTTTTCCTGTAAGTCCGGAAATGTTTGGTAAAGTGATATTAAGCGTTTTAACAGTTTTTAGTAAAATTTAACGATATTGGATGTCGAAAACAAGAAAAACCTTCGAAAACATTTTTTAGCTGAAGTTTGCTCGAAAACCGTCCATTTTTGGTCGTAAAATTGATTTTTTTTTGTATTTGTAACGCTTTGCTGTTTAGCTATAGTAAAACAGCTTAGAAACCGTGTTCTGTTTATATAGAAAAATTGCGTCCTTAAAAAATAAATTTGACCTCCCCCGATAATGCGACAGAGCCGAAATTTTACGGCTTTAGGCCAATTTTTCTTTTTAGGCGAATGCTCACTATCACTCCATAATTACCGAACTATTTGAAGGGCACGAATTTCTGCAGAACAATGTTGGCCAAGGTTTTTTTAGGGTTTCTTGAAATTTTGTTGTTAAGAATTTGTGCCAAAGAGCCATTGGTCGATCGATCCATTCGGGTTGTCCCCGTCGCTACCGCTGCTACTCTCTGAGGCAAACATTACTGATGCCGTTTTGCAAAGGGTATCTTCGCTGGTCGGAAGCTGATTTCGATTTATGTTTAGGTTCATTACTCCGTCAAGAAGAAGCTCGCTGAAAGGAAACAACTGGAGTTTATGTGGCGCCAATTCTGGGGTTGGTGTGGATGTTTAAAAAGTATCAATTTAATACTACAATTTTTACGAGCCTGTGGTTTTTAGGCGACCCGAAAAAGAATCTTCGAAATCGTGGGACTATACTATTTTGGAAGTTAAAAAAGTTGCATTTCTGGCTTTAGATGGGCCTGAAAATTGCTCACTTCAAACATTTATCACCAAACAAAATACCCGTCAGAAACAGCATAAAATGTCTGCGATGCGGATCTTTTCTCTAATGTAAGACAGCTATAAGCCTGGGACTAGCCAAAGTAAAAGCGGGAAACTTTCAAGCTTACGCGGTCCTTCACCTTTTAAATGAGACTAATGGAATCAATTGGAAGCAGCGAAAAATCCTGCGCGAAATAAGCACTTTTAGGAGGATCCGGTGCCCGACACGATGTCCGATCTCATCTCTTCCCCTTCTACTCATATGACATCCCTCACACTTGCGGCCCCGAACCAAAAATCTGCTGCCAGTTTGACTTCAAGCGGCTGCCAGGAGGTTTGAAAAATTGTGAATGCTTGACCATAATTTAGGCAAAATCTCCTGCGACTGGCGCGTTCCTCCACAGGCTATTAACAGCACGAATGTCGCGCAACGGTTGTTCATTTATAATATTTAGTTAGTACCAGGGTTGAAAAGCCGCTTCGCGACTTTTCAACCCTGGCCCGTATAAGCCCATGAAATTCTACCCTTTGCATAATTCGCCCGAATTTGTCATGAGAAATGATGAAGAACGCTCCCTCTCTCCGATTATATAGGCTATCGCCACTTCCGGTGCATGCTAATTTTTTCCTAACAAAGAGGGCGCCCGTTTTTTAAAGAAAAAACCAATTTTAATGTTCAAAATAAGATAATTTGCAAAATATTATACGTCTGCAGTCATCTCGGAAGCATTACGCACCTAATGACGTATCAAACTTAACTTAAAAACTTTCCCCTATCGAGTTACTACTGGAACACGCTGACGGAAGTTGCATTCAAATGCACACACACACACAGACACTATTTTTTTATATATAGTAGGATATTTTTATTTTAGAGCATTCATGATCTACGATCAATACCGGAAGAAGAGTCAACTCTTCAAGACCAACGTGCTGCTGATTCCGCTGGGTGATGATTTCAGGTTCCGGAAAGGCTAGTTTCCAAATTTTGTTTTTTTTTTAGATACCAGGATGATTTCGAGTGGGATAATCAGCACGACAATTACAAACGGCTCTTCGATTATATGAACAACAGACCAGAGTGGAACGTGAAGGTAGCGGATTTTTTTCGGGTTAATACATTGTCTCAGGCCCGCTTCGGCACCCTGGCTGACTATTTTGATGCGTTGGAATCGAGGTTGAAGGAGGAGCGGAAGCAGCTGCCCATTTTGTCCGGCGATTTCTTCACCTATGCTGATCGTGACGATCATTATTGGAGTGGTTCGTGATCTTGGGCCTGCTTTTCTTCTTCAAGAAGGCGTTTTTTTTGGGTTGGGGCGGGTTCGCCGAAAGCTGCGTCGCGAAACTCATTTCGCCTAATTTTTTGACCGTCTTCAGAGCTGCATTTTTCCCAAAAAGTCAACAATATGGACATTTTATAACTGAGGTACTAATTTTGTTAGCATATATCTAGAAATTCCTTGCTACAAAATCGCTTAGTCTACCAAAATGTTTATAATAAACAAAACTTTGAATCATTTATCATTCGTTAAATCAAAAAAGCAATAATCATTTCGAAAATTGTAGACTTTACGGTCAAAAATTCAGCTCTGAAGGCGGAGAAAAATTTCGGCGAAACGGCTTTGGACGAAATGGGTTGAGACCAGTGTCCGGCTGTCTTTTTTGGTGCCCATGGGGTTCAAAAGCACCAGCCTAGCTTGCGCAGAGTCTTTTGCTGCTTAAAGTCTACGATACAAACTCTGCGAAACGAACGGATAGTAAAAATATCAAGTTTTGATGCGTAAAAAGCGCAGAAACTCCGGCGCATGAAAATTGCCTCTTAACAAAGAGATTTTTCGATATCTTTACAAAAACTTAATTTTAATAGCGAAAACATCCGATTTTTCTAAATCTGATATGTGCGCATTCATCTCGGCACCATTACGTCATTTAATGATACCGGAAAAATCTTCACCTGGGGCGGTGGGTGCGGTACATACTCACGGAAGTTGCAAGCAAATATACAAAGACACTATACTTTACATATATGACCAGTCAAATATTTCCACTAGCGTGGGATTGTCCGGTTTTTGCACGGAATGCGCACTGAAAACGTAGATTATTTAGGCTACTTCACGTCAAGGCCCTTTTACAAGCACATGGATCGCGTCCTACAACACTACCTGAGGTCTTTTCCAGCGCCCTAGGCTGTACTTTTTTAGAACTGCCGAAATTTCCTACTCCCTGGCGCGCATAGACGGCGGCGGCGATCTGGACGATGGCGTTTTGTCAAAATTGGTTGAGGTACGATCGGTCCACGTAGCCGCGTTTTCGCATTAGCGGGCGGAGCCACTTTTCCTCCTCCAATCTAACGTTTCTAAATTGGGTGTTAGGTTTTCTAGACTGTTTTTTTACTATCCCCAAGCTCAAAAGCATTAAAAAGAATGTTATTAAAAATACAAAAATAGAGGTTTTTCTGTTTTGAAATCTATTTGACCGCTGTTCGACTAAAATATAAATTATGAAGTTTTCCGGGGGGTTTTTTTGGTATAGTTTTCCACTTGAAATGTCGGCCTGTTATAAAGCCTATTGAAATACGTGATTTGAATTGCTAGGGATGGATCAAAACCCAGGAAAAAGAATTAGGCCGGTCTCCGACAGACCCCCCCCCCGATAATGCGAAATTTGCCTAGAATCAGAAGCCCGTTTTTGCAGGTCCGCCGAGCCCTCTCGCTTTTCCAACATCATGACGGCGTTACTGGCACGGCCAAAGCGGCGGTGGTGAATGATTACGGAGAAAAGTACGGTTTGTATAACGTATTACAAGATTTTCCAGGATGCTCTCCGCGCTGAAACGTGCCGAGGAGGTCACGACGATTGCCATTGGTTCTTTGCTGGGCAACAAGGTAGCCGGAAGTTGATAGTAAAGTATCGGAACTTAGTCTCGTATATCGATGTCGTTTGACGAATTTCGGGCCAAGCAAGACGCGATGCCGGAAGCGCGTGTCTTTGAGGCTGATAGGTAATTTATTGGGGGTGTTTTTTTTTCGCATTCTCGTGGAGAGGAAGACAAAATTTGGTACTTTAGGATTCGCGGGGGGAGACAATCTTTCGATGCCAGCCTAAATTTTTTATCAATAGCGGATGCGTTTCTCGATTGTTTTTAACGACTCCTAAGCATACAGCACAAATTTTTAAGCGTACGAATTTTCATTAAAAATTAATTTTAGGTCGCAAAAATTCATTTGTTCGACCCAAAGCGACGACATTTTCGGCTGTTTCAAACTTCTTTCTAATTTTTTTAATTTAATTTGAATATTGCTAAAACCTACCTAAAATGTAAAGCGCTTTATGTTTGATTACTAGGTCAACCGGGACCGCCAGCTAAAAAATTTGGTTCCCCCTTTCGGTTTTTGCGTTTCTTTTATGGGCGTATTTTTACGGATATTTTTGCTATTGACCGAGAGATTCCTGATAATATAATAACCAGTATTTTAATAATTCTATTACTAATATGTAACTACAAAATCTGAAATTTTCGGCGAAAATTAGCCATTTTTTGTCGAACAATTGTTTGATTTTGATAATTTTTAATAGCCCGGTTTTTAATAGTCAAAATATTTTGAAAAACCTGCCTGTCGGTGAGCAAATTGGGTCTAAGGAAAAATTTCATTAGTAAAATCTCTTTTAGCTCGCTCCTACTTTTCAACACTTTGGCGCATGCGCGGGCTGAAGTTGCCTGTATCCAGGTGGCTTCTCCTAACATTCGAATCAAGGTATGCCCAAGGATTTCCTTCTGGATTTAAGGCTCTAATTTAACTTTAGCGTTCCGACGGCACCCCACCCGAACAACAGCTTGCCCCAGTTCTCGTCCACCGAGGCGGTCGCGTTCACAGCCAACCCGGACGATTTGAGGCGAGGCTTACGGTTTTGGATTCATTAGCGGAACCGAGAATTTTCATTGACAAAAAAAACACAGATTCTTCGACCTTCTGGGTTTTTGAGAAAGATTTCGGCTTAAAATATAGTCAAATTTTGCGATTTACATACGTACTTTTATTCAGTTGTGGATCGTACAAATCGTTATTAACAAAAAATTGGGTTCTTTGGCCGATAATGAGCCATTTTTGAACAAAGTTTCACATTTTTTACGTTCTTTGGCATTATGCGGGGGGGGGAGAGCGCTTTTTTGTATGTTTAGAAGGACCTTGACTTAATAGGAAGTATTTTAATAATGTTTTCAGTGGAACCAAAACAGCTAACTAAAAAATGCCAAAAAATTTTCGGGATTCGAAATTTTGGCGGGGGCAGTTTTGTTGGAAAACCGATAATTTTTTACTAAAAATTTGTAAGGTTTTTACGTTTAGGATTAGTAAAACCAGTTTAGAACTTCCGATATTTCGTTTTTGAATTGGATCCTATGGAAAAAAAAGCGCTTACGTCACTATGCATTTCTGCTTATCGAAAAGGATTTCTCTTTGGGGAGAGGAAAAAAAATTAATTTGCATTATTCTACAAGAACCCCCTCCCCCGCCAGCGAGCCAGAATCTGATTAAATATTTTTATCTTCCTTTTTAGCTGTGCTTCTGGGCAGAGGTCTCAGCCCTTGCATCCGAAGTTTTTGAGCTACATTCGATGGACGAGCCGTCGACCGCTGAGCTGGTGCTCGTCAAAGGCCGAGCAAAACCGGAAGGGTAAATATTTGATCGGAATCCTAGTCACTCTTTCTAGTCTTGACGATTTCTTCGAATTCGAGCAAATCAGCGGAAGCGTCGAGCTATCTAACTCCTTACTGACGGCTGTCTTCAGTGGCAACACCGGGTTTTTGAAGGTAATTTTTTTTGACACTGATACCTTAGTGGGGGAGGGGGGTACTTCACCATAATATTCAGGGTCCGAAAAACATCCATCATCCTCAATGATCTTCAGAGAGAAACAAAGGCAGCCGGCGGAAAAACTTAGTTTCACGCCTACAATGCCCCCCCCCCCGCAAACGAACCAGCTCCATTTTTGATGATTACTAAGTGCCACACGTTTTCCAGGAAATTCGTCTGGAATCCGGTGAAAAAGTTGATGTCAACGCGCACTTTGTAAAGTACGGGGCCCGCCCTAGTGGATCGCGTGGGTTTCACGTTGGGAAAAGTTTTTATAATCTATTTGAAGTAAAAAATCGTGGTGGCGACAACCTCTCCGGTGCGTATATCTTCTTGCCGAATGGGACAGCAAAACCGATGGAGGTTATGTAGCTCTTAATACGAAAATAAACCTCTCTATTTTAGGTTTCACAGCCAGCATTTGTTGTAGCGGAAGGGCCGTTGGTGAAGCGTATGCTTGCGATGGGCCCGAACGACGGGAAATTGGTCCAAAGCTATTCGCTTGAAAAGGTACTTTAATTTAATGTTGGCTGCCCTAGTTAATTTAATTTTATTTCATTTGTGGACCAAAAAACGGCATAGCTCCTTGCTGAATTGTCGGCCTCCAACCCTAGAATCAAGAAATCAAAAGCTTCCAGCGATACCAAAATTTCCGGTTATTTTACGCATTTTCTAGCCGCCCGCCGTCTTGAAGTAACAGCGCTCCGTAAAGCACCCTTTTTGTGAAAGACTGTTAAAAAACCCGTAAAATTTCGACGAATTAAAAAAAAATCGAGGTGAAACCACCGGTTCCTCGAATTCCTGGTGTGAGAAAAACAACGTACGCTTAATGCCGATACTTGAAAATGATGTGCTGCAAAATTTGGTAATTAGGATGCTGCACAAGGCCGCTACTGCGTTTAGCTCGCCTTCTTGAGAGCGTTCAACGGTCACCCGATTCGGAAACACCTAGTTGTAACGCACTAGAGCGCTTTTTTGGGGCATTTTTCAGTCGTCCGGCATCTTTTTTACGTTTTCAGGGATCCTACTCAATCGGCATTTGCAACACCATCGATCTCAGCAACCGTCCCGATAATATCGAGGTAACGCGGTACTTTTTAAAGGTAGTTCTTCTTTTGTAGGTGGCGCTTCGTTTTGAGACGAATATCGACAGCGGCGCCGACCTGTTCACCGATTTGAACGGCCTGCAGATGATTCGTCGCCGACGAATGCTCGAAAAGCTGCCCCTTCAAGCGCACTTCTATCCGATGCCCGGAAGCGCCTATATTGAGGCGAGACGCGACTTTATTTAGAAAACCTGTTTTTTAGGATAAAGGCCAACGCTTGACGCTGCTCGGAGCGCAGGCATTGGGAGTTGCGAGCCTCAGGACTGGTTGGCAATAGCAAAGATTTTTAATATACCTTTTCAGGCCATGTCGAGGTGATGTTGGATCGCCGGACGCAACAAGATGACAACCGCGGGCTCTTGCAGGTTCAAACTTTGCTTTTTAGGAACCATTTTTCTATCATAAACCAGGGTTGATCCTATGATATTCATCACTGTGCATAATACGCCCGAACTGCGATGAAAAATAATAAAAAACGCTCCCGCTGTCCCTTTATACAGTCCGCGTCATAATGATAGGTTCTCCCGATTTTAGGACAGTTTGTCGACCTAGAACAAGTTTTTTACTGTTCTATTTCGCGCGGGGGGGGGGAATGTTCTTCGTTTTGTTATAGCATTTCATATGTTTGAGTTGTAATTAAAACTCTTAGTATATTTTTTTGACGTTCTATCGAATGGCATTAAAGGAATTTTTGAAAGATATCGAAAATGTCGAAAACTAGCTTTCGACTCCACGATCCCATGTGAAAACGGTGCCACGACATTTGCGGCCCGACCATTTGCGGCCCGACACTTGCGGCCCGACATTTGCGGACGCGACAGTTGCGGCCCGACACTTCCGCCCGACATTTGCGGCCCGACACTTGCGCCCGACATTTGCGGTCCGACAATTGCGGCCCAAAGCTGTAGTTAATTACCCAAAACTGAGGCTTTTAATCGCCCGGAGGGCTAGTTTTCTGAACGGGGTTTGATCGCTTGTCCCCTAGACTTGACCTAAAAATAAGGCTTCGTGCCACCCGGGGCCTAGTCGCTTCGGATGGGTGCGAGCTCTTACAGGGTTTCGAAATCGGGGCGCCCGAGGCGCGCGTAGCGGCCAGGCGCCCCGATTTCGAAAGAGTGGAGAAGGAGAAGGTGCTGGACCCCGTCTAGGCCCATGAATCGAGCGCCATTCCACATAAAGTTACCCTGAAGAAACGCATCTCCCATGCAAACATCTTTGTATTGACATGCGGCGCAAGCTTAAATCGCTAGTGTCATTATTAGGCCAGCGGCGCCAGCTTGAGCGGTTTGCTTCGAGATAAAGCCTGCGACGCAAGTTTAAGCGATTATCTCCGTCTTTAGCCTGCGGCGCTAGCTTGAGCGGCTAGCTTTGTTCTAAAGCCTGCGGCGCCAGCTTGAGCGGCTGACTTCGTTCTAAAGCCTGCGGCGCTAACTTGAGCGCCTAGCTTCGTTCCAAAGCCTGCGGCGCTAGCTTGAGCGGCTAGCTTCGTTCTAAAGCCTGTGGCGCCAGCTTAAGCGGCTGACTTCGTTCTAAAGCCTGCGGCGCTAGCTTGAGCGGCTAGCTTCGTTCTAAAGCCTGTGGCGCCAGCTTGAGCGGCTGACTTAGTTCTAAAGCCTGCGGCGCTAACTTGAGCGCCTAGCTTCTTTCCAAAGCCTGCGGCGCTAGCTTGAGCGGCTAGCTTCGTTCTAAAGCCTGTGGCGCTAGCTTAAGCGGCTGACTTCGTTCTAAAGCCTGCGGCGCTAGCTTGAGCGGCTAGCTTCGTTCTAAAGCCTGTGGCGCCAGCTTAAGCGGCTGACTTCGTTCTAAAGCCTGCGGCGCCAGCTTGAGCGGCTGACTTCGTTCTAAAGCCTGCGGCGCTAACTTGAGCGGCTAGCTTCGTTCTAAAGCCTGCGGCGCTAGCTTGAGCGGCTAGCTTCGTTCTAAAGCCTGCCGCGCTAGCTTGGGCGGGTAGCTTCATTCTATAGGCTGCGGCTTGAGTGACTAACTTCATAATAACGTCCCTACACGGAAATCCACTCCGAAACGCACTTTCCGAGCAAAAAGCAAAACAACTAAGATATCCGAGGATCGAACCTCCGATGGTTAGATTAGCAAGGCGAAGCGCTAACCACTACACCATGCAATGCTTGGCAGCACGCGTCAACACCCATTTTATGCCTCAAGAGGACTGCCCGGGGCAGGGGAAGGAAAGGCATCAAGAGGCAGCTCCAAAGAGACGACCAAACTCGCGAGTGCAACTGGCAAGAATGAGGAAATTTGTATTTTTTCACATTATGCAGATTAGCCCGCCCAGACCCCCAAAAATGAATACATCCGGCTTTAACTTTGTAAACTTGTATTTTAACGGGATTCTGAAAGCGCCATCGGAAAGAGGAGGGTCGATTCCCCCGGGAGACGGAGAATTAGGGCATTTTGGACACGGGAAGGCCCTCAAATCGGGCCTCGAAACTGACCTCCGCACACACACACAGACAAAGATACGCGACCAAATTATATAAGGTAGGATATTTTTAGCTAAAACAAAAATTCTTAGGATATTGTATGTTCTATCGAATGGCGTTGCAAATACCCTGAGAAAATGGCGAAAAGATGGAAGTCTCCGCGAAGCCTATTCCCCCCCCCCGGCACAGTCCCCCCCCTCGAAATAGAACAGAACCCAAGTTTTTCATAAAACCGGGGTTGTATTCAGATAGAGCATAGCTCAAAACCTTGAAAGTCATTATTCATTTGGTTAGAATGCTTAGGACGAATTGTATTTGCGGTGATGTAGATTCGTTTTAGGCTCTTGCCGACAACCGTCCGACCGTCTCGCACTTCCGCCTCCTCTTCGAGCCGCTGGAGACGACCAGCCAAAAGATTGCGGATTCCCCGATGGGCCATCTAACGTCCATTGCACACCACGCCTCGTTGAGTCTACTGTATCCCTGGGTGAAAATCATGGGCAAAGGTTGGTTTTGGTTCTTGATCTTGATTTTTATTTTCTTGATTTGGATTTTTGGCCATGATTTTCGCGCTATTTTTATGTTTCTGTCGTGACTTATGAAAACGTTTGATAGAGCGTCAAAAATACCTATTTAGACTATCCAAAATCCAATTTCAAAGATGTGCCAAAAATATGTTTTATTACATGGAATTATCCTTTATTACATTGAGTTGTTAAAAACCGTTGAATAAGTTTTGTGGGGCGAAAATTAACTCGGACCGGATAGTTTTCGACGCTCTATCCGGCGAAGTTTTGGAAATGTCAAGATAAGGTGTAAAAATTTTGAAAATTTCTCACTTTTTAGGTATCCCAACCCACAGGAACGTGCGTGGACTAACATCTTCTCTCCCCTGTGACGTTCATCTGGTGACACTACGCACGATGACTGGCCCGACCGATTACAACGTTCGTATCAAAATTTAAATAGGTTTAATTGGTTCAGTTTAAGTTTTTTTTGGCAGCGGGGACCTGATTTTTTTTGAAGTCAAATGCTTGTTAAAGTGATAGCCAGGATTCTAACGGTTAGTAGTTCTTTGGTAAAATTTAGTTCCAAGTGCAAAAACTCAAAAACTCGATGTTTTGGTCGAAAAATATAGATTTTTTTTGGGGCAGCTGTACTGTCAATTCGCGGAGCAGTTGAATGTTAGACTTTAGACCCCTAACTTTGATTTATGGTTCAACTCATATAAGTTGTTCTACTGCGTTCGTCGCCTACCCCTCAGTTTTTCAGAATAACCGTGCCGTGAAGCCAAAGAACGAGGCGGCGCTTGTCTTACGACGCTGGTTGCCTGAATGCCGTGGCTCGCGCAGCATTTTGGATCAGGAATGCACTAATCTGACGCAGGTATGCCGATTTTGATGAAATCTTCTTATAATATTTTTCCTTCTTTTGTATTTTCGTGCCAGAAAACCGTTAAGAAATAAAATATGTTAGCGTTGGCGCTATGAAGTGCTATACTTGTCCCGTGGCACGAAATCTGAAGACCTTTCCTAACAAATTTCGGAAAATCGGTCGGTTATAAGGACTTTCGGTTAAACCTAATCTTGACGAATTTTTCGGATGGGCTTTTTATATTTAAACATTCTGAGAAATGCCGGAAAAATGGTTCTCAAAATGGGAAACGCTATTTCGTCATTGGGCGGTGGATGATTAATGAGAAAAAATCTGGCTCCCTCCCTCGCTAAACCCCCCGATAACAATCCAGTGCCAAAAATGTCATTTTAGGTCAATGTTCGTGATCTTTTCGTGGGGAGCGTCAAGTCGGTGCACGAGGCCTCGCTGACGATGCTCTACGTGGACGAAACGCCTCGCGAGCTCGTTGCGCTAGAGCCTCATCGGGTGAAAACTGTGAAGATTGTGTATTAGGTTTTTTTCTTTCTTTCTGCTGTTTTTTTTCTAGCAGTTGTGATATATATGATGTTTCGCTCTTTTGTAGCTTGCTTCATCAGTGTCTTTCCGTGATATATGTCTGCTCATTTTCTACGGGTAGCTCCGCCTTACTGGGCATTTTTGGGTGTTTATTTGCCAAACCGTGTGTTATAGATTTCGGGCGATAAAGAGCATTATTGCAGTATCGTCTCTCAAATTGCCTATGTCATCGTGTAGGCTCTGTCCAAATCAGTTTTTTTACAAAGCGTACTTTTATGAATTTCAGAAATGATCATGCGTGAATGGAAGCAGTTTTCTTGCAAATTGATGCTCTTTTTTGCGTACACGCGATGTCGTCCCAGCGATGGTGCCACCGTCTGATGCCTTCCGTGATGATCTGGAATGCGTCAAGGTTACTGTAGCCGGAAAAATTACCTTAAATAAGCTATTTAACCCACTAAAGGTATCGAAAAACAAACTTAGAGTTTCCGGTGCTGTCGCATTATCGGGAGGGGGGAAGGGGGTGGGAGAATTTTTCATTAGGGCCCATTTTCCCAATAAAATAGAAGAAGTGTTGCCAAACTATTTTCCCTACTATTCCTAAACGCATTACGACAAATTTTTGATAATGAATAATATAGAGTTTTCGATCAAAATTGGCCGATTGGCGACCGAAATTTCAAATGCTATAAGTTTATAAGATAGTTTGCCGCCCGAAAAATAACTACAAGCTCCAAGCACACAAAAATAGGTAAACAAGGGGTTCCGCTACGCACCTGCGCACACTCGTCCCCCTTCGGCTCGTTCACCACCCAGTAGAAGAACTTGCCCTCGCTGCCGTCAGTCCATTCATACGTCAAATTTCGGGCCTGCCAAGAAAATTGGGCATTTTTAGAGGTTTTTACCAACTGTAATCCGAGCCAAGCCTGCTTCACTTTTGCCGCGAGCCCAAACTCTGTAAAACTGGGCCCAAACTTCAGACTTAGGCTTACCGACGACACATTCGTTCTCCTGGAATGAGCTGATGGAGACAAGGTCTCCTCCGGCGTTCTTGCACTTCGTCTGCGCCTCAGAAAAATCGAGTGCTTGTGTTTCGACCTAGGGTTAATGAAAAGTATAAAGGTAAGCTGGCACCTTGTAGCAGAATTCGGTAGTTGCACATCCTTTCCAGCCTCGATCACATGATGCTGGCTTTAGCATAACTTCCTGAAATTTCAAAGAATAGAGAGAAAGGGAGAGAGAGCGAGAGAGAGAGACAGAGAGGGAGAAAGAGAAAGAGAGGGAGAGAGAGCAAGAGAGAGAGAGAGAGAGCGAGAGATGGTGAGCGAGAGAGAATGAGAGAGCGAGAACGAGAGAGAGTGCGAGAGAGAGCGAGAGAGAGCGAGAGAGAGAGCGAGAGAGAGAGAGAGAGAGAGAGAGAGAGAGAGAGAGAGAGAGAGACCTTTACCTGAGCACCAACGGCCCGTTGGCAAACCCCTTGATAATTTTGAGAGCATCTGCGGTTGATCCATTCGCCGTTGCGCTAAAAATAGTAATGTACCCTTTGATACTTAACAATTTAGGTTTTTCCGAAAGAAGCTCTGCTAGGCTGCCCTGGAAAACTTCCCAAGCAATCATTGCCAGTTTCCCTACCTACCCAAATTTTAGAAAACTCACGCTAATAACCATGCAATAACGATCGGTGCCGGACGGCTGCCCTTTTTTCCAATTTGCATACTTGACCCCCGTGCCGTCGCGCCACCGGTAGATGCGCTCCTGGTTCTCGTTGGTTTCCTGACAAAGATTTGTCGGGTTAGTTTGGAGACTCTCCCACCTCCATGCCCCCAATCCAGACGTCGCGATTCCGGGTGGCCTTTCGCTCCTGGAGGAGTTCTGCAAGGGCCGGTTATACGTGGGCACATATTTACGTCTGCGTTTGGAGTTTTCCCTGCGTTCTATGCGCAACTAAGCGCATGCGGTGCGTAGCTAAACGTGCGCCTTAATGGTGCGAAGAAGGCAAAGTTTGCAGGTTCGGTGATCGAACGTATCGAGACCGATACCGAAAGGACTATTGCTTAAACATAGCGAAAATTGATGACGTTGCGAAAATGACGGAATATTCGAGAAAAACAGGAAGTTTTTGGGGCAAAATAGACCATCTGGGCGCGCGTGAATATATCGTAACTAGGGTTGTTTATCGGAACAGGCCGAGATTCGGAACATTCGGAACAGCAACCGTCCCGACTGTTCCGAATGTCGGAACAGTCCGGGTTTCGGGTGTTCCGGCTGTTCCGAGATTCGGAACATTCCGAGATTCAAATAATGCGGTTGTTCCGAGATTCATATTGTTCCGACTGTTCCGAAATTCGGGACGTCCCGAGATTTGGCTGTTCCGACTGTTCCGAGATTCGGAACAGTCTGAGATTGTGGTGTCCCGAGATTCAAATTTTCTCGTATGTAAATTTCGATTTCATGTAAATCGTGTAGATTGCATGTAAATGTTTCGATTTGGCGGTCCCACGGCAGTGTGGGCGCAACTGAACACCTAATTCCGTCGATGGTTAGATATCGAATCCAGAAATAAGGGAAATGAGAACGAATTGGGGTCGAATCGAATCGAAATTCAGTCGTGTTTGGAAATTTACATGCGAAAAAATTTGAATCTCGGAACAGCTCAATATCGGACTGTTCCGAATCTCGGAACAGTCGGAACAGCCAAATCTCGGAACGTCCCGAATCTCGGAACAGTCGGAACAATATGAATCTCGGAACAACCGCATTATTTGAATCTCGGAATGTTCCGAATCTCGGAACAGCCGGAACACCCGAAACTCGGCCCGTTCCGACCAGTCTTTGTTCCGAAAGTTCCGAATCTCGGTCTGTTCCGAGAAACAACCCTAATCGTAACGCACGGAAAGCCGCTTGGTTCCTCAATCTCGGTTTTTCGGGGATCAATTTTAAAAGTTAAAATAGCTAGAACAATCGGAATCGTTTGACAACTCCGGAAATTTCCCCAGAACTTTCAACTTCTGGTGTTTTCACGTCGAAACCAAGACAAAAGAGCAGGCGGCGCTGTCGCTTTGCGGCTGTATCTGGCTATTTGCCAGGGAACAGCGCTGCAGCGACCAGACCTTCTAGTCCCTTTAAGGTCTTCCTGTTTGGCCCACCTTTTAAGAACTCATTTTCATTGTCCGTGGCGGCCGTGGCCAGGTGACCGCCGAGGCTTTGGCACTTTTTTCTCAGCATCCCAGAATGGCAGCGGGGTGATGATCTAGAAATGTTTTCCAGAAATGTTAGTACTTCGTCAGAGAAGCTCCATTTACGCAAAACACAGCCCTGCGTACGACCGTACCTAGGCACCCCGTTAACATAGCTGTAAAGTCCACCAAAATGTGCGTTTTGTGTTGACGATCGTTGTCCTGAGCATAATTTTGGTATATTTTGCGCTTCTGTAGGCCAAAGGGGATTCGAGATACCAGAAGATAGGTACAAGAAGAAGAAAGGCCGGTAGGGTGCCGTTCAGCCACCTACCTTAAAACATTTCTGCTGATCATCAGACGCCATCCAGCCGCTACCGCATGGATTAACCTTGCCTGGGACTCCAGGGTCACCTTGATCTTCCGGTTCCTAGGCAGCAATTACAGAAGATCGGGGGAAGCTACCGTCTGCGTGTTGTCGCTACCCTGGCTTTGACTCCCATCACCACCCGAATTTGTGTTCGGATTCGTGGCTGGAACATTACCAGGCTGACCCTAAATTTATCGGTAAACCAATTTCGAAGAGACAAGCGAAGGCATCTCTTAAACAATTGTAGCAATCAGTATTTGTAACTTACGGGCACCTGCACGTTCGGCATCACTGGTGAGTTTCCATCTTGGCCGCTAGTTGCAGGGACCTGCCCCGTTTGCCCGTTGTTCGATGTGCCTTGCACTCCAGTTGATCCCTGACCATTTCCAGCGGTATCTGTCGGTTTTCCTGCGGGTCTTCCAGGCTGCGCAGGTTTTCCAGCTGGTTTCTCGGCAGGCGTCTCTGCGGGTTCGTCTTGACCCTCAGTTCCTTCTGCTGTTTCTCCTTCCTCAGGTTCTTCACCTGCTTCTTGTTTTTCTTCTCCTTCTGTTCCATTGCCAGGTTTTCCGGCAGGTTTGCCAGCAGGCTTTGCAGGTTTTCCAGCTGGTTCGTTGGAAGGTGTATCACCATCACCCTCTGCGGGCTCTTCTTGACCTTCCGTTCCTTCTTCTCCTTCATCAGCCCCTTCGCTTTCTACTTGCCCTTCTTCTTTTTCTTCGTCTCCTCCCGCTCCAGCTTCAGGTTGGCCGTCCGGTTTCCCCTTTCCGGTTGGCTTTCCGGCAGGTTTTCCTTTGGAACCTTCGGCGGGTTCGCCTTCCGCGCCTCCTTCAGCTTCTGCTTGACCCTCAGCTCCTGCTCCCGTTTCTCCTTCAGTCCCTTCCTCGGCTCCATCTCCTTCACCGTGTCCTGCCTCTGTTCCATCCGCAGGTTTTCCGGCAGGCTTTGCAGGTTTTCCAGCTGGTTCTGCGGAAGGTGTATCACCATCACCCTCTGCAGGTTCTTCTTGACCTTCAGTTCCTTCTTCTGTTTCTCCATCAGTTCCTTCATCAGCCCCTTCGCCTTCTCCTTCTTCTCCTTCTTTTTGTCCTTCTGTTCCAGCTCCCGGCTTGTCAGCCGGTTTGCCTTTTCCAATTGGTTTTTCAGCCGGTTTTCCGTTGGATCCTTCGGCCGGTTCGCCTTCCGCGCCTTCTGCGGGTTCTTCTTGACCTGCAGTCGCATCTACCGTTTCTCCTTCAGCCCCTTCTTCCGTTCCTTCTCCCTCTACTTGTCCTTTTTCTGTTCCTTCCGCAGGTTTTCCGGAAGGTTTGCCAGCTGGTTTTCCAGAAGGTGTCTGACCATCGCCCTCCGCGGGCTCTTCTTGACCTTCGCTTCCTTCCTCAGCTTCTGCCGTTTCAGTTCCATCTGATGGTTTTCCAGCTGGTTTCGCAGTAGGTTTTCCCTTAGGGTCTTCGGCCGGGACTTCTCCTTCTTCCGCGCCTTCCTCGGCTTCTACTTCGGTTTCTTCCTCAGCTCCTGCTTCTTCTGCTTCTGGTCCATCCGCAGGTTTTCCATTAGAATTTCCTTCCTCTTCTGCGCCTTCTTCTGTTTCTCCTTCTGTTCCTCCATCGGAGGGATCTACGGGTTTGCTGGCAGGCTTTCCAGCAGGTGTCTCACCATCACCCTCTGTCGGTTCTGCTTGGCCTTCGGTTCCTTCTTCTGTTCCTCCCGCGGACCCTTTCTCAGCTTCTTGGCCTTCTCCTTCTCCATCTCCTTCTGTTCCATCCGCTGGTTTTCCGTCAGGCTTGCCTTTTCCAGTTGGTTTACCGGCAGGTTTTCCCTTGGATCCTTCGGCGGTTTCTCCTTCCTCTGCCGCGCCTTCTTCAGCTTCGCCTTCAGCTTCTCCTTCGGTACCGGCCTCAGCGCCTTGCTGTTCTTCTTCTGTTCCCCCTGCAGGCTTTCCAGGTTTTGCAGCTGGCCTTCCTGCAGGTGTCTCACCATCACTTTCGGCGGGTCCCTCTTCCTCAGCTCCATCTGCTGGTTTCCCAGCGGGTTTTCCCTTAGGACCTTCGGCGGGGTTTCCTTGCTCTTCCCCCTCGGTACCTGTCTCAGCTTCTCCTTGTCCTTCTTCGGTTCCAGCTGCCGGCTTTCCCGCTGCTTTGTCTTTTCCAGCAGGTTTTCCTTTTAGGACCTTCGGCGACTCCGCCTTCTTCTTCAGCACCTTGTTCGGGTTCGCCTTCAGCGTCTCCGTCGGTCCCGTCCGCCGCCACTCCTTCTTCTTCTTCTGTTCCCTCTGCCGGGATTCCCGCGGGGTGGCCAGCAGACTTTCCAGGTTTGCCAGCAGGTTTTCCGGAAGGTGTCCCACCATCACTTTTTTCTTCTTGATCTTCGGTTTCCTCCTCGCCCCCTCCTGTTTCCCCATCGGTCCCTTCCTCAGCTCCATCTGCTGGTTTCCCAGCGGGTTTTTCCTTAGGACCATCGGCGGGTTTTCCTTCCTCCTCCTCACCTTCTTTAGCTTCTCCTTCGGCTTCACCTTCGCTACCTGTCTCAGCTTCTTCTTGTCCTTCTTCTGTTTGTGTTCCAACTTCAGGCTTGGCAGGTTTGCCAGCAGGTTTTCCCTTAGGACCCTCGGCGGGTTCTTCTACCTCTTCCATTCCTGCGTCCGCCTCTTCTTCGCCTTCTTCAGCCTCCCCGCCTGCCGGATTTCCAGGTTTGCCAGCCGGTTTTTTACCAGCGCCTTCAGCAGGTTCTTGTTGGCCTTCAGCTCCTTCCTCAACTCCGCCTTCACCTCCTGCGCCGTCCCCTCCTGTAGGGTCATCTGCGGGTCCTCCAGGCCTGCCAGCAGCCGTCTCACCAGCGCCTTCAGCAGGTATACTAGCTCCTTCAGTTGCTCCCTCAGCTCCTCCATCTTCTCCTTCAGCAGCTCCTCCCGCAGGGTCACTTGCCACTTTACCAGGTTTGCCTGCGGAACTGACTGGAGCATCTGGAGCAGGACCGGCGGCAGGCTAAAATCAAAAATATTAAAATTGACGTTTTTTTGTTTGTCTTAAATTTCGCTTGTGAATGATTGGATGTAGTCCTTAAGGAACTGTTAAACAAGTCAAAACTTTTGTGAATACTTTCTGTTAAGCCAAAATACATTTTTGGCACTTGGGCCCAGGGTTGGCTGCGAAAAGGTTACGGTCATCGTCTAAATCATTTTGCAATTTTTGGACAAGGCATTTTACCACACGGCCGGCCGCTTCATTGGCGACGGCACTTCCTAAACGCTTTGTTTACGTCAAAAAATTCCATGTACCCAGAAAAACCGCAAGGAATAAGACGACCGAGCGCCGCATGGCAGCCGGTTGTTTTCAGAAATGGTTCAGGTAGAATCGAGCCGATGCCCTCCCTTGATCTTCGATTTTTTGCATGAATCAAAAAGCGAGGGTTGAAGGTCGGAAAGACGCATTTGGCGAAAATTTATTCATAGCGACGATCGTCAATATTTCCAGCGGGTTTCTTTCATGTTTTTGTGGCGCCCGTCGAAAACCAAAAAAGCGTCGTCCCAGGTGTTTTGTATTAAACAGCGCTGCCATTTTTTTTGAACGCCAAGTGCGGCTTGAAATGGAAAAGGGAATGCTTCTACGCTATTTTTCATCTTAGAAAATTGCCAGACTTGACGGGAGGGTGGTTGCGGATGGCTCTCCAAAAATTTTTTGGTCGTGATTTCGTCGGGATTTAGATAGCCATTTGATAGATCATCAACAAATATACTAAGAATTTGAATCGCAGCTCAGATTAATGTACAAAAAATAAGTAAGCAAGTAAATAAATAAGGTTGCGAACCTGCGGCAAGGGGAGGGTAAAATAAAGCCTTTCTTCTTTCTTTTCTTTCCCTTTCTTCCTATCGTTTTTTCGGGCTTTCATTTCCATCCGAATTACAAGGTATTTTTTCTGGTTTTTTGTAATGCAACATTTTTCAATGTGACCACTGCAAAAGCTATCGGATTTATTCCACTCCAAATCGTCAATAAAGCGATGCCTTCTTGCAGACGGCGACACGGTGGTGACTATCGCAATCCACGTCGTTCCACATATGCAAATAGGGGCTCTTCGGTGCGTTCTTGCCGGAGAGCTCGTCGGTGTAGATCTGAAAGTGTGACCCTCGTATGCCTTGTATCGCTACGACACAACACTGTATACGGCGGTATCAAGCGAATAGAACGTACCTCGATACAGCTTTCGCGACCTCCAGCATTATTTGGCTCACCGTTGGCCCACGGGTAAAAGGTGAAAGGGCTTCCGTCTAGCCACGCAAAGTCGTTGACGTTGGCGCCGGTCTAAAACTTCGTAGAAATTGAGGTATGCCCAGCTCAAATTCATAAAAAATAATACCCACTCGCTTAGCTCCGACCAAAGCGGTAAACATCAGGTCGCCAGAGTAGCCGGTTTTCGCGAAATCTAATAGGCGCATAAGTAAGCGTAAGAAATTTTAGCGACAATTTTGTGAATAAATAATAGCTTTTAGGCCTTCAACTCACCAACAATCAAATTATTTTCCTCATTAGAAGTCACAGACGAGATGGTAGCGCCCAGGGCTCGACATTGCTCCTCGGCGTTCGCGAAGTCGACATGATAAACGAGCTAAACCCAGCATACCTATAAAAAGTGTGGCGCGCTACCTTGTAGCAGCTCTTCGTCACTGTCGCGTACATCCACTCGGTCTCGCACGGCGGGAGTTGCGGGCCATTCTGAAACCGAAAAGCATTGTTCAGGGAAGCGAGAAGGAGAGAGCGAGAAAGCGACAGGGAGCGCGAGAGATAGAGCGAGAAAGAGAGAGAGAGAAAGAGCGTGAGAGAAAGATCCACCTTACCGATTTCTTCCCGATGCACATAATCGGGTACCTGTCATTCCAGGCGGCGGTGCTCCACTTTCCCGTCGACAGGCTCATCACCAGGTTTCCGGAAGTACCCGCTGAATTTCATGTGTGTTTAAGGAACCCGAAACCATGCGTGATTAGGTTTTAGGTTATGATAAAAGCGCAACGGCTGCGTCGCATGTGTGGTAGAGAGAATTGCATGGTGTGTACGTGGGCGTCCAGAAAAATTTTGGATTTGTCTTTTCTGGAGATTGATGGCACGATAACAAACCTGAGGCAAGATTAGCATAAGTGGCGTTGGTGCCATCGTCCCACGTAATAACCTTTCCATCGTAAGAACCGCCCAGCCAGAATCCGTCGACGCCGAGCGTCTAAAAATTAATGCCTGCAAAGCTAATGGATTACACCAGATAAAAATACCTTTAGGGTCAAGAATGCGGCGCTGTTTGTGGGTTTTATCTTCTCAAAAAACGTTTTAGCAAAATTGCAAAATAAACCACACCGAACCGTTTAAAATGAAATCCTTGTCGAAAGAAATATTTTGAAATAGCTTTCACTCAAATTACTGAAACTTGGCTTGATGTTTCTATGGATTACAATTTAAAAAAAAGGGGGAAGGGGGGGGGGGGGAAAAGGGGAAAAAAAAAGGAATAAATATTTTTTTTTTTTTAAAATTTAAATAAATTAAAAATTTTTTTTTATTTTTTTTTTTTTTTTTTTTTTTTATAGTTTTTGAAAATTTTTTAAAAAGGCGTTAAAAAGGGTAAGCTTATATATTTTTTGTAACATTTTACTCGCAGTTGCGTCCCGGCGAGTTGCAAAACCCTGGCGTTATCGAAAACGTTCGAAATCGACGCCAGGTAACCGCCTAGGCTAAAACATCAAATCACGAAAACATACGATACTCAACTTTTCACAAAACGCCTCGGCATCACTGTAGGTTTGGTTGGGCGGCGAATCCATAATAACAGCTGGCCCCATCCGAGGCGTCGACCTGCCGATTTTGGGCAAAATGCCAAAGTTACTAAAAAAATTTTGCAGGTCCGATAGGGGCGAATAAACCTTGAGCTAGTGCGAGAACCAGGAACCCACAACACATCCACATTTCGTCAGGTGCTTTTTTGGCGAGAATGAATTGGAAGAAGCCGGGAAAGCCGCGGCTCCACAAAATCCGATTAGCCGGCTGTGATAAGGCAACATCACCGTCAGGCTCTAATACTTTGCACCCTGATTTTTTTGGGGGGTGGTGGCAAGCACAAAGGTCGACTCATGGGGCACAAACCGGCAGAGAGTGTCGGGCTTGTTTCGCTGAACTTTGGAGAAAAATCCCGGCCAAAATTCAAGGTATCAAGTTTCCAGGTTTAAGATATCAAAATTCGGCTCAGGAACGAGTGGTCGTAGTCATTGAGCGGTTGAGGAGAAATTTGTGAAATTTAGAGAAGGCGTTGGCGGATTCCAGCGTGCAAATTCCGTGAACCGGATTTCGGGCTTAAGGCCTGTCTTCGGGCTCACGCCGTGAGACGAAAGGTGCTTTGCGCGTCGGACCAGCAGATTCCATTGGGCGAGTAATAGGTTACAAAATCAGCTGTTATCCTATTATAAATAGGTTAAATATAGTGTCTGTGTGTACCACACATTGCATACAGAATTGGCTGATAAGTATCCGGACAAACTTTGACATGGCGTAACAAAAAAACATCCAGTTTTATATTCTGTTTTCCTAGCCATTGTGGATGTTCTTGTATATACTTTGATATTTCATGACTAAAATTGAGTTGATTTAAGGACAGTAAATTATCAGACGCCAAAGAAACTGACTTTAGCCGTCATTTCCTTAAAGGGGCTCAGAAGCCAAAATTCGTGCGTGCGGGGATTGAACCTACGGGTCAAAAACCAGAGGGTCACCGCCGAGAAGTGCCCAAAAAGTTAATTGATCGCGAAGGACGTAAAATGTTTGAGAGAAAACCGAATTCTTTTTGGGAAGTGAAAACGACATTTTAAATACAGCGGCAATTACCTGTCGTAATGCGTTGTAAGGCACCCAATCTCTCGGTCTCGTGTGATTCTCTGGTCAATTTTCATAAATTAAAAGTCTGGAATGATCAAAATTCGTTGAGGATTCTAAAAATAGTATCAGAATTTTTAAATTCAAGCGTTTTCGCTTCCAAACGAGGCAAAAAATCATGCGGCGCAGGCGCGTTGCAGCCGCATCTGGCTATTTGCCAGGAATCACAGCAGGGGGCCGTGGACCGGATTTCCGGAGCCCCTTTAAGCTTAGGTGCGCCGCACCTGGGGTAGTCAATGTTTAGACGAGAAAATTTTCTGGGTTAAGGTGTCTGAAAACTCAAAAACCGCGATAACTTTTCGGTCCGGGTGCGAAGAATCCTAGGTAGTTAAAAATTACTACAAAAAGGTTTATCCCAGAAAGTTATATAGTCGGAAGAGGCCTGGCGTCTTCGACAGGTTTCATCGATCAAAACGCTAAAATGAAGATGAACCTCTATCAAGATGATATTCTGGAGCAAGATGTGATGCTCTGTAATCAGAACGAAATCCAGTGTATTGGCCTTCAACAGTATCAGGCTCGGGAGCTAGGGCCCAAACCACAATTCGTCATTTTCGCCCGAAAATCGACACTTTTATGACGAAGGTTATATCCCCTGCCAAAAGCCCAGATCGTAATCCACTGGGTTTTCTGTGCGGTAATGCATGGAACACGAGTCAAAGAACCAAACATCAAGAATATGATTTAATCTGCACCAAGAATTTAACCAGTTTTTGGTAAGGCCAGCCGTCAACTGCCCGCGGCGCACGGCCATTTAGGATAGCCACAACTTGTAGCATAAATCAAAGCAGATAAATGTCACCTTTAAAATTTATTACAGCGACGAATATTCCGATCTACTTGTTTATAAAATAATTGGTTTTGATTACATTCGTGCTCGCCCCTACACGCAGGACCTTATACTTTTTCCGGATGCTTATCAGCCACCCTGTAGAACTTCCGTCACCGTGTTCCAGCAGTATCTCAAGCAGGAGAGTAGTTAGGGGCATGTTTGAGACGTCATTAGGTGCGTAATGCTCGGGAAGGTGACTGCACACCATATCCGATCTCTCCAAATCCGCGATTTTCGACATTAATGTTGGTTTTTAGTAGAAAAATCCGAGGTCCGGGCCGAAAGCATCGTTGCTCAAGCATCGATTTTTGATTTATTCGATAGAAGCTACAAAGCTTTGAGTATGCATTGGTAAGGAAGATCTGTTGAGCAACAAACTTTATAAATTTTAATCACGAATAGATGCGTCAAGTCGATAAATCTGTTTTTCCAACCTTATGAGCCTAAGTTTTAACTCTTTCGATCTAAAAAGCGCGTTCTTTTGGATCAGGGTTTTGTTCATTCGAAGATTTTGTAAATTCAGAGATTCCTGATGGTCGAGATTCTGAGCATTCGAGATTCCTAATCATTCGATATTTTGCCATTCGAGATTCTGTCATTCGAGATTTTCATCGCTACCCCCGCGCCAGCGCGCCACGCCACCTACGCGCTAACCAGCCGCAGCCCTCTCCCCTCTCCCTATCCCGTCTCCCCCATGGCTAGTGGTAGAAAGCGCTTGCCCCAGGCGAGCGCCCCGGGTTCGGTTTTGCTCGGCGACGAGCGCATACCATAACCCTGCTTGCTATCCCGCGGACGGTTACCGGCCAGTATTAGCCCCTCAACGAGACGCTAGTGTACCTTTAAAGGGAGGTGTAGCGGATTCAGGCCCCCTGTAAGCGGGTTATGTTCATTTTTCCTAAAAATCATTTTTCCTAAATTCATTTTTCCTAAATTCATTTTTCTAAAAATCATTTTTCCTTGAAATCATTTTTCCAAAAGTCATTTTCCCAAAAATCATTTTTCCTAAAAGTCATTTTTCTAAAATCATTTTTCCTAAAGTTCATTTTTCCTAAATTTTTTTCATTCAATAGGGATGCGTAAAAATATCAAGAAATTCCAAATGCTATCATTTTTTTAGCAGTATTTGTTAGCAGTATTTGTTTGGTTTGGTTATTAGTAGGCTTTTATCGAAAATCTTTCTTATTATCATTGATCCTTTTCACTTCCAATCACCCAAATCCAGGCTAAACGCGCAACTAAAATACTTCCTATGATCACTCAAGGCAGATCTGGCCTTATTCTAAAATTTTCTATTTTTCTCATGCATAGTACTAAAGAATTAGGCCTTTACGGTATTTAACCGGTTTTAGGAAAAATGAACTTTAGGAAAAATGATTTTTGGAAAATATGACTTTTAGGAAAAATGATCTTTTAGGAAAAATGATTTTTAGGAAAAATGTTTAGGAAAAATGAATTTAGGAAAAATGATTTTTAGGAAAAATGACTGGAATTCCCTGTAAGCTAATTAGCATAGCAAAGTTTGTTAGCAATATGCATTTTGGTGGTTCAGCATAGCTCGACGACCTGTCAAAAGCCTCAGTCATTCGCATTTTCATCCCCAAACGATGCGCTTCCTTGCTCGTATCTTCGGTTGGCATTGAGTTAAATTTTTTTTGCTTTCCGTGGAAAAAGAGTTATAAACTTCGAACTAAAGTCTAGTTTCACCCCCCTTCCCCCAAGTGGTCCAATTAATGAGCGAAGTATCTCAAAATGTCCTCCTTGCCGAATATTCCATTTCCATGTACTTTTTTAGAAGCAAAATAACAAATAACAATTTTAGAAGCGATTTTATCGTCGCGGCACAACTATATTGTTGCCAGGGGACAGGGTAACAGAGCACGCCTTTTGACGCTTACGACGGGGAAAGGGATTGCTGTCGCCCCAATCACAGCCGCCCAGCTCCCAATAAAACGATCCGGTAGCTTTGGAAAGGAAGGAAGACCGCAACGCGTGCGATAGGCGCGTCGCGCAATTGCCAAGCAGGCCTGCGCAGTTAAAAACCGGTTGCTATTCCGCGCACCCGCACGCAACGCGCGAAAAACACGTACAGTACGCCCTTTCCCTTGAACCATCTGGACCGAACCCCTGGGCGGTTGTACAATACAGATCAATCTTTGTTTACGCTTTATTTCTTTTATTTTCTTTTTTTCGTTATCAAATGTTATGGAAATGGAGAGTTTGACGAGGGGAAAATTTGGAGATACTTCGCACGTAATGGAAATGACTTGGGGCAAATGCTGGCTGGGCGGGGGAGTAAACACCAGACTCGAACCAAACTTCGAAACGCTGTAATTCCAGAACTACGACCCGCTGCCAATGGCCACGCCGAACATTCGCCCCGGTTTTCGCATCTACCGACGCCAGGTGTACATCGCCGCCGTGGTGTTGCTGGTCTACGTCTGTGGGCTGATTGTCCATTCGTTCTGCACGCCGAATAGCGAGCGTGGCCACGAACGAAGGTGCAGATGCCGATGAGGTTGAAAGCATTTGCACCTCCACTAGCAGTTTCATTGTAGCAAGCGGCAACCCGGTGATTCCTTAGCTGGACCAAGTTCTTTTGCGCTTACCCGTACCCCAATCCGATTGGCCGGCCAAAAACCGAACCGCAGGTGGGACAATTTTTGCTGGAGTTGGTGGTACCGGACTGTTAGCGGGGGAACCAAATTCTTCACAGTAATCCGGTACGGCCCCTATAACAGAAATCTAAATAATTTCTATATTATTTTACACAGTTTTTAGATATGAAAACATAGAAATCCCTATCAAAATTTCCGAGATTTGATCACTTATTGATGAAAATGTGTGTAAAATGACCAAAAAGTCGAACTTGTCGAATTTTCAAAATAAAAAAGTTTCTGATACTAGCCATCCATCAACAAAAAAACACTTTAAAATACACTAAATAAAGCAATCAATTAATCATCATCAACAGGTTAAAAATAGAGTCTTTTGATCCTTGCTAAAAATCCTCCCCACCCCACTAACAGCCCAGTACCTTAAAATCTTGTAAATGTTCTTGAATTTTTGAAGACGAAAAACAGTCATAGGGTTTCGAACACGGAGAAGAACTTGCAATCTTTTACACATCAGCAGGATTCATGGTTGAAAAGTTGGGGGCTTTTCCTGGGAATTTTTGCTAAAATAAGGCAAATGTCTCATTTGCTTGTAATTATGCAGGCTCTTTGCGAGTTCACGGATGACCGTCAGCGTCTCGATGAAGCGGACGTGGTCGTTTTTCATTCAAGGGATATGGATGATCTGCCGCCGGACGACCAGCGGAACCCGGTTTGACCTTGTGTTGATAGCGACTTTTTGTCAAGTTTTAACTTATTTTTGGATTCGAATCAATGCCTAATAATGGTTTTTTACTTCCAGATACCACCTATACTCTTCCGGACTCCTGGAATCTTTACCGCACAGTCAATGTGGCGCACTTCAGGGTTTTCCCAGTGGGTTGATTGACGATCTCTGGGTATAGCCGTACTAACAAAAAGTTAAAAGCTTCGCATATTTTATGAGCAGTTTTCGTTCCTATTGATTTCTTTCGGCTACGGTTTACTTTACCCCCCCCCCCAGCCGGAAGTTTTCCTTCTACAACGTTTTTATTTTTACATTATTGTAGGCTCAAGTCCAAACTCTTAGTATATTTTCGACGCTCTATCGAATGGCGTTACAAGAATCCCGACAAAACAAGCGAAAATACCAGACAACTTTGGGTCCCTTCGGCTGTGGAGGGTAAAGTAAACTCTTATCTTTCTTTCATTTAAAACTCGTCTATACTTCGATATAGGGTATATATACTGGAAAAGTTGCCCCCCCCGCTAACAGCCCAGTACCAATGCCTTGTCCATTTTCAGCGGATTACTTCAACCGCACCATGACAACCGCCTCAGACAGCGATATACCATGCTTGTTTCCCGCCCAACGTGTTGAGTACCAATCCACGGTTCTTATGCATTATCGAGGGAGGGGCGGGCTTTTCCTAGAAGTCCAAAATTAACGATTAAACGTATTCGTACGTGTTTTTATCGTGTTTAAAGCAGAATTTAATCGTATTTGGAGGACAAACAAAGCTATATCACCCTGGAAAACATTTTTGGGCGAAATTTTAAGTGGATAAATCGACATACTTTCGTTGTTTTTTAAGCCATTTGTAAAACTTTTTTGCAATTTTAGGTATCGTAAAATTTTAGAAATATTATTTCCTGTAGTTATGTTAGAAAAATGGATCCGTAGAGAAAAAATTGCTCACCCCAATAATGCGAAAAAACCATTTCGCCGAATCCGCCCAAAAAAAATACCTTTAAGGAAGCGATCACCCCCGATGCGCGCCCAATGCTTCCCCCACCGCCCGGATTTTTTGAGAAAGAAGCAAGAAGGGGTTTCCGCCCTCATCTCCAACTGCGCCAACACACCAAATGGACGGGCTGACGTGTTGACGGAATTAAACAAGTAGGAAACACAAGAAAATGTGCCGTGTCTGGCCAAGTTGTTTTCGGTTCTTGACTGTTAGCGGGGGGTGGGGGTGTTTTTACAGAAGAGGAACACTTTTTGTTTTTCCACCTACCTTCTGATGATCAATATATGTATTTTATAGGGTTTTGTATTTTTGCTTGCTAGAAAGTTATACAAATATCGTCAACACCGTTTTGGTGATTTTTCATTTGTCATTGACCAAGAATTATGGAATTTCAAAATTTTGTTATTTTCTATATTGTTTTTCATATCCAAAAACTCTGTGAAACACCATAAACATCGTGTATATTTAACTTTTTTTTTGGTAATTTTCTTGCATTTAGGACCCAAAATTCAAAAATTTTCAGGAAACCTTGGGTATTTTTTAAATTATGTTTGGGTTAAAACTTCAGCCAATATGCTTTAAATAATAGGGCTAAACTCAAGATACCCCCTCCAGCCGAGGCCCACCTGCCAACCTCTCCGCTCCGTGTTTATTTTCCAGGTGCGCAAAGCAGGCCAAAATTCTCCTCATTGACAAGACAGATATTTTGGTATACTTTGCACACTTGTAGATGAACAGGGAAAGGAGATAAAAAAGTTGGGTGCTGGCTGGGCGGAAGGGGGTATCTGGAGTCTTGCAAAAATACTTAATTTCGTTTAGAGAGGACCGTAGAGGATCACCTGGAAAAAATTGGTAAAAGCCTTAAAGTACTTACGTAAAGGACAAACCTACAAGGATGGCGTACTTTTTTTATGGCGTACCCGGTAGCCATGCGCGGCGGATGTGTCCGAGAACCAGGCCGACAGGGGATTTTTGCGTACGCGGAAGCCGTGCATTGACAAGATCCGAGAGGCCATCGAAGGTTGGTGCTGCTCGAATACATTAAATTCTGTTCCTAGGACACTTTTTCTACTCTGCCATCCCGAGAACAGCGGTGCTACGGCTACATCGCCGAAAAGACCTACGATCGCATCGAGTTCAATTCGATTCCGATCGTGGTGCGGCGGGATATTTATGAGAAAAACCCGTGAGTTTTCACATGGTAAAGTACGTTACTGGACCGTTAGCGGGAGGGGGCAGGAGACCGGCTTTAACTGAAATTTTCACCGGAGTCCTGTACGCCCCCTTTAGCAAACACAAACTGATTTTACAGCATTTCGTTGCAGTTTTATGTAAAAGTAGTTTATAAAAAATTTGGAAAATTTCTTTGCCCATTTGGTCAAAATTACATCAATAATAACGAAACGATCAAGAACGATCACAAATTCCGAACTCTCAAAAATGTTTGAAATTGTTTTTGCAAGTTGTTCGCAATCAAAATTTACTAAAAGATTACAAAAATACACTGGCTGTTATTAATAACACAAAATTTTGTTTTCCCGTTGCTGAAAATATCTTTTAGATCCATGCCGCCGTCGTCCCAGATTTTTGTCGACGACTTCGAGAGTTCCGAGGAGATGGCCGTGTTTTTGCGGTAGGCTTACTGACTGCATAAATTTTACAAGAAACTGTCGCCAAAATTTTTGGGTGCCTCCCCCGAAATCATTTTTGGCACGTTTTCATAAATTTTCTTATCTATTTTTTTCAGCTCGCTACAATCCAACAAAACCGCCTACATGTCCTACTTCAAATACCGCGAGCGGTACGGCGTCGACGAAAAATTCAACGTTTACTGGGATGCCCTGTGCGCGCAGCTGAACGATCCGAATTCGACGCTGCGCAACTCCAAGAAAACGGTTGGTTTTGGAATGCGTTATTTATTAGATGGCCTCCATCTAATCCGGCGTTTTCCAAGTTTTCCAATTCCAAGAAATTTAGATCCCTGGCGACGTCTCCGAGACGTATATGAAATGTCTCACGCCGCACTCTTTCGAGAGTTAGAGGGATGAGAAGTTACCCCATGGCTGCTTTTGGGTACGTTTTTCAGGGACCACCGGGATTATTATTTTTGTTTGATATTTTTATGCGTGATTTAGATTAATATTTTTGTTTGTAAAATATTTCTGGTATTTTAGTGTTCGGCACTTCGTTGGCCTTCTTGACCATCATCGCCCTCCGCGCAGCTGTTGTCAAGCGAAAGCACGAAATCAACGAATTCTTCGGTTTTCACCCAGATGCGATAAACGCTTGCCCTGATTTCGACCATTTTAATAATCAGACAGTTTTTACTGTATCCTAAATTCACGGGTACAGTTTCGGGTGAGAAATTTCATCTGAACGGAGCGTCCTTAATTTGGAATGACCGTCAACTGGTGTGTTTCGTTTTGCGGGCTCTTGCAAATAACTGTTCCCGAAATCTATTTTTACAACTCGCGGCATTTTGAGTGGTCTAAAGGTGCAGAAGTCCTGAGGACCACTGCTTTTCTCTTACATAACTTCCGCGGCGAGACAATTTCCGTTTCACCGAAAACTTTTTAGCGATACAGCGCGCCTCGAAAACGAGCAACCATCATGACGCCCGAAAGGGAGAGCCAATGTACAAAAGTTGGGAAGTAATCTTGCCTAGGGATTTTATCCGAACGTGGCAAAAGACTAATAAGTTAATTAGCATAGGAAAGTGACAATTGGCATGAATTTGCATCTTTGTGCCATATGGCTCGGCCTCTTTCCGAAAACTTAGTCATTTACACTTTTCTGCCAAAACGATGCGCTTCCTTGCCCGTGTCTTTGGTTGGCATGTGGGTTTTCCGCTGCTTCGGAATACGCGCTGAGTCGCGCTAAGGCGCAAATTCGCGAAATCGACTAAAGTAGCAATCCTGCTTTCGCAATTGCACGACGCGTCTATCGCAAGCGTTGCGGTCTTCCCTCCTTTCCAAAGCTACCGGACGTTTATTAGGAGCCGGGCCGCAGTGTCATTGCAAACCAATCTTTGTTTAAGCTTTATTTCTTTTTCTTTCTTTATTTGCGTTAAAAAGTATATGGAAATGGAGTGTTTGAAGAGGGGAACATTTTGAGATACTACGCGCATTAATGGGATGACTTGGAGGCAAATGTTGGTGGGGGTAAACGAGGCTATAACCTGGATATCGAAAAAAGAATTCTAGGACTACGACCCGCTGCCGATGTCGACGCCCAACATCCGCCCGGGTTTGCGCAACTATCGACGCCATGTGTACATCGCCGCCGGATTGCTGCTGGTCACCGTCTGGGCGTTGATGCTCTACCGAAGTGGGACGATGGTTGAAGAGCCAAAGGAGGTCCCCCTGAAGCATCCGGCGGTCGACGGTGCTCATCAGCTTCCGGCCGTTGAGTTGCCGGCCCGTCAGGGTCAGCAGAACCGGAGGTTTGGATTTAAGGGCATCACGGCTGTCGTGTAATTAGTACCGCGGTGGGCACTAAAAATCGGGTGCTGGACTGTTAGCGGGGGGCGGGGAATTTTTAGCAAGGGGAACCAGGTTTTCTTTTCCGACGACACACCTGTTAATAGCTGTGTTTTTAGATGTTAAATTTGTATTTTGTTAGTCTTTTCGTTTGCCAGAAAGTTATAAAAAATATTTTTTAAATGCCTAAATTTTGCAATTTACGATCGGTTGGGTCATTTTTCAGACAATTTTGAGCCAAAGTATAAAATATTGAATTATTTTATTTTCGAACTTTTGAAGGAGGGAATTCTTCTTCTCCTTCGAAGGAATTTTTCGGATAAAAAAAAATTCGAACAAAATGGTTTGCATTTCGTTATAAGTTCATACGAAATTACTGAAAAACCATGCCAAGCCCCCCCCCCGCTAACAGTCCAGTACCGCACAGAATTCAAGGTACGTATCATCCCTCAAGCTTTGCAGGATGCCAATCCGAGCAAGCGCGACCGAGGAAGCGGTGTATAGCGTAGCCGATCCCGAGGAGCGAATCCCCGCTGAGACTATAGATAACGATTTCGGAGTCGTCAGCAGAGTGCCGTTCAACGGGACGATCCTTATCCTTGGTATAGTAAAGAATTTCGAAAAAAACTTCACCTTTTTTGACGTTTCGGTTCTTTCGCATTATCGGGGGGGGGGGTTTATCGGAAGTGTTTCTACATTGTTTTTTACTATCCCTAAACGTAAACGTTTACAAAATTTTATTACAAAATACAAAGAATATCGGTATAGCAAGCAGATATGGCGGTGTTGACCAAAATGTTATTATACAGGGTGTCCCAAAAAAAAACGACCCATCTGGCATTTCGCCGTGTTACATCCAATCGCTCCCAAATTTGGACCAGAGGTGTATCATACCCCAAATAACAACAATCCTGACTTTTAGCCCCATAGCTACAGTAGTTTTAAAGTTATAACGAAAATAAACTTTATTTTCCATTTTTCTTAGGGTTTCCGTGGAGTTAGACCTCCTAGACATTAAGTGAAAATGATTCGGTAGGCCTTCTTTACCCGAAGAAATTTTTTCCGGACCAGAATTTATCAAATAATCGTTGAATTAAGCGATTTTTACAACGCCAAATTACCCCAGATCTTAAGCGAAATTAGGGATTCGCAGCCGGAAGTCGATGCAAATCGATGCAAAGCCCAAAAAGATAGCCGAAAAAACTGTTCAGAATTGCGTCAAAAACAGTATTTTCGTTATAACTCGAGAACAACTGTAGCTACGGGGCTAAAAGTCAGGATTGTTGTTATTTAGGGTCTGATACATCTCTCATCCAAATTTGGGGCCGATTGGCTGTAACACGGCGAAATGCCGGATGGGTCGTTTTTTTTGGGACACCCTGTAAGTCATCTTGTCATTATAAAACATGAAATTACTAGGCAGTTCTAGATGAATAGACAATAAAATTCCCCCCCGCCCCCGCAAATGCTAAAGGACCAAAGTTCTATCTCTTTCCCGTTCCAGAAGGCAACTACACACCCGAAAATTTTGCCAACGCGCCGCACCACTTTGTGGTTGCCGTTGCGAATGCGAAGCCCGAAGATTTGATAAAATATAAAGCATGTAAGTCTGCCGTATCCTCATGAATATATATCGTTTTCTAGCCTACCCCTACCGCGAGATCCTCTCCTATCGGTTGAAGCCGGGCCGTGACTTTTTCGAGGTCTTCATCAACGAGACCGCCCATTTGATGCCAATGTGGGACTTGGTTAGAGTGAAGTTCCCCCCTAGCCGGCACCCAACTTTTGTATCTCGGCTCCCTGTTTATCTATATGTGTGTAAAGTATACCAAAATACTCGCCAGAGCAAGACGAACATTTTGGCATAATTTACACACCTGTAGATGAACAGGGAGCCGAGATACGGTTGGTGGGGTCAGCTGGGGGGGTAAACTGCAATCAACCCTGGGACTTCAAAAAAAAAAACACGCAAAATTTGCTCCTTGAGCTTCCACCGAGCCTGGGAGATATTCCTTAACTTCAACTGTTCCAGCTCCGCCTACAAAAAAGAAGGAGACGTCTTCTACCCGGTCGACGCGACGTTCCACAATCGGCTGTGGCGCAACTCGAAGAAGTTGGAGTGTTTGATGGGTTGGTGATTCTGGACTGTTAGCGGAACCCAAATTTTTTTCTGTGATTTTCTACGGTCTCATCAAAAAAAACCATTTTTATAGCATTTTATATAATTTTTACGCATAAAAACAATATAAAAATAAAATTTTCGAAAATTTTTGAACTTGGATTTTTTGAACAGATGTTCGCAGAATGACAAAAAATGACGAAATCTCCGAATTTTCAAAGTGTTTAAAAACATTTTCATAACTCTACGAATCAAAATCTACTAAAAAATTTTAAAAGGTGGAAAAACAGAAAGTGGTTTCTCCCGCCCCCTCCCCTCCCCCTGATACCCCCCCGCCCGCCAACAGTCCAGACGGGCTTTTCCACATTCTCAGTTCTTGGTTAAAAAAATGGATTTTTATTGCGTTTTTGACAGTTAAGCCATAGTTTGAATAAAGCGTACCGGCTCAAAATCAACTCCTTGAAGGGCACCCGGATATGAAAGGCGTCGAGCCGAAGCTGCTGCCAAAGGATCTCGAGTGGCTGGCCGCCTTCCGTGACCTGTGCTTCGAGAAAGCCGTCATCCCGTTCCTCGCCAAGCGCACGCTTCTGGGTAAGCGTTTCTTCTCATCGAAAATCATCAAAATAATTCCGTCTCGGTTTCAGGCTGGCGTCGCCAGTGCGCCCTGCTCCCCGCCGCCGGCGGCTTCGATTTGAACGTCTTCGACGAGGAATTCCCGGATGCCCTAATTGCCGATGAGGCCAAGCTGGCCACGAGGCGCTTGCGGGTTGAGCACACGTTTGGAAAAGTGGGGTTTTTCGGATTGGCCGCGGTACTGGCCTGTTAGCGGGTGGTGAGTCAGGGAAAAACCAAGTTCTGTTTTTCCGCCTGCCGACGGCCAGTTAATAATACATAGTGTATTTGTAGTGTTTTTTTGTGGTTTTCTTATTCCTAAAAAGGCATAAAAAAATTGTAAGCAGCTTTGAAAATTCCAAAATTTGGCTGTTTGGTCAGTTTTCTTACATTTTTGACCAAAAAAATTTGTAGTTTTTTATGAGTCTTTTCTATCTAAAACCTGGGTAAAATGCTATTAACTAGGCCTAGATTGCCGCATAGGAACGTAAAAGATTATTGGGGAAAATCAGTTTTCACCCTATCAGCAGCCCAGTATCGCCACCGCCCCCCCCACCGCAAATGAACCAGTGCCCGGATCTTTCTCGTTTGTGTCTCTCTCATTGCTGTCAAAGTGTATGAAAATCCTCATTTCAGCGGAGATCCGGCACCTACGAGGTGCACCTGACCTCGATGGAGCCAGCGGCGCGCCCCTTCGAGATCCTTCTCAACCCCATGTACAACGGAAATGACGGCTACAACTTTGAGACGATGATCACCGGGGAGGGCGACGACGCCGTGCTGTGGGACCTCGAATATCCATGGTGAGGCACCACTAGCCTTCGTAAGGCTGCAGATAAACCTCATGTAAGGATGCAGTATTTTGCCGTTGGGCCCCCTGCATCACGATTTTTCAGGTTCGTGAAAAATTTCTGCACGGCCGCGCTACATGGCCACATCTTCCATGTGCCCTGCGACCCGTACCAGTTGATTCTGGTAACACCTTTTTGCCTAAGCAAATTTAGTTCCCGGTTTAAGGCAAATTACGGGCCGAACTGGGACGATATCGATGACTATAAGTTGAAGAACGCGCGGAAACTGGGTCCGCTGAATGACCGCAAATGGTGGGAAAGAGTGAGAGAGAGAGAGAGAGAGAGCGAGAGAGTGAGAGAGAAAGAAAAAGAAGTGATAAAGGGAAAACAACTAACTTTTTAGGCAGCGACCGAATGTTTGATGCACCATTTCGACCCGTCCGATCCAGGCCCGTGCAGCCAAATTGATCTCCCGCCCAATCCGTTCTCGCTTTTTCGATCTCACGAATAAATGCATTTGTATGTGCGAGTCTTATTATTGCACCGCAAGTAAATAACATACACTGCTTACCAACATACCCATACATACCAAAGTTCTGTTATTCATTTGCCTTGCAGGTATGTTCAACCATCCAAACGAATTAAACGGATCAGAAAAGGCCGGGCCAATTAGCAGAAGAATGGTTTTTTCACATGAGATTTGCATAAATTGCCTCGGTTCCCGCTTTTCAAAACCCGCGCCCTTCCCTGTTTTTTTTGCGTAACGTTGCAGATTGGCGCGCCGCAAATTGTAGATCATCCTTGCTCTAAATGGGCATATCTTATCCCTTAAAACCCGCATTTTAGCGCACGTCACCTTCACCGTCAAGGCGGGTCCGGCGGGTTGCGCTACCGGATCCACGAGCATCGACGGAAATTGCCGAAAAGTACCAGAAATAATTCTTTGACCTAACTCTTGGGCCTCTCTTAGATCGGTTGTGCCAAAGGATGGCTGCTTGGCACGGCGACCGATAAATGCTACAAGGTTAAAAGACTCTTTTTGTCGCTACCCCTTATTCTTTCTACAGCGCCTGCCTGAGCTTTGCAACCACAAGGCGGCCATCGCTGCCTGCGCGCAGCTCGACGCCATCCTTCCCGAAATCCTCTCCGCTCAGGAAAACTCAGCTGTCCACGGTATGTTTTTTTCCGGAGTTTGCTTATATTTCCGGAGATCCGATTCCCGACAATCCGTTTTTCGAAAATCGGACAGCCGAAAATTTAAATCCCGAAAATCGTAATTTGCGGGATTCTCATCGGAAACCGGTATTACCATTTGTTTTTGAGATGGCCTAAACGGTGATTTAAGATTTTCGGGGGAGACCAACATTTTTCTCAGAAGGGCCAGGTTAGCCTAGTAACTGAATCTAAAATGTGTTTTTTTTTATAATTGCTAGGAAGTGTTGAACCATATTTAAGGTATGAAACTTTTTCAACAAGGTAGTAAATTGTTTGGAAAGTCGAAAATATGGTCATTTTGACATTTCTAGGTAAAACCAGGGTTGAAAAGTCGCTTCGCGACTTTTCAACCCTGGCCCCGTCGGAACCCATGTTATTCTTCACTATGCATAATTCTCGCGATTTTCTATGACAAAAATGAGAAACGCCCGCTCTCTACCCCATTATATAGGCTACCACAACTTCCGGCGTATGCTAATCATTTCCTAACAAAGAGGGTTCTCGATTTTTCAACAAAAAACTTAAGTTTAACATCGAAAACAGCAAATTTTTGGTAATTTCATGAGTGTGCAGCCATCTCCAGGCCATTACGCACCTAATGACGTATAAAACGTACCCCTAAACACCCCCAATATTGAGATACTGCTGGAACACGCTGACGGAAGTTGCATGCAAATGCACACACACACACAGACACTATTTTTTTATATATAGTAGGATACGGCTTTTCAAGGTATTATTTTTTCCATTTTATTAAGTTTTTACGCTTGGCGATAGCTAAAAGTAATTACAAATGTATCCGCTACTTGTGAAAAATCTATGAATATCCCCCGCAAATCCTAAAGGACCTTTGAACCAATTCTAGCCATGCTTCAACTTGAGGCCTTGCCAAAGGAGAGCGACAGTATCCGGCTCGGGGCTGTCCGCGTAAGTCGACCAACGATTAATTAAACTTGGCCCCAGAATGGTCAAGGAAAACTGGACTTCGGGTGGACAAGCAAGGCGCCGATGACATACAAGAATTTCAAAGATGACGAGATGGACAACAAGGGAGATTGGGAGGATTGTTTGAATGTAAGCTCACTGGGCCGCTTTTTTGACAAGTTTAAGAAATCCCGTACCGTAGTGGGATTATTAGTTTTGTGCACAATACCCCTGATTAAAAAGTTGTGAGCATTTTTCAAAAAGTCAGCAAGCAAAAAGTTTTGCACACTACAGCACTACCTACTGCACCAAACAGCTTGCCAATTCGGGCGACGCAAGAGCTTGAAAAGGGGGGAGCCCAGAATGAGGGCCAAGTCAGGATTGTCCGGGCGTTTCGTGCTTTTTTATGTAACTTCAAAGGCCTATAACTTTTTTATTTGGGGCATTGTGCAGAAAATGAGATTAAGAAACTACACTTTATTTTTGATTTTCTATCCACTGGCAAAGTTTCAAGTCAATTTGACACCTGACCCAACCGACCTTCCCTTGTTAGTATTCCACAGGGCCCATTAAACTGCCGTTTGCAATTTGAGAAACAAATTTGTAAAATTTTCCGGGTTTTCCCTTTTGAACACGGGCTAAGTTGCTGAATTTCTACATTAGTTGTGAGGTGAATTGGCTGTGGTTCCGATCCGCCCTTCTGCATCGATTTAAGTTCGTCGTTTTTACGGAACGTTTTAGATGTCGCCTACAGAACAATGGGTGGACGTCACCTGCCCTTCTGAGGCCGTTACCGTCTGTCAGCGTCCGGCGGCAAGTCAATCCACGTTTTTCCGTGCATCTAACCGCCTCATTGTTTCCACTGATGTATTTAGTATGTCTGCGAAGACGGTTGGACGTTGGGACGCGCCACCGATAAATGTTACTTGGTAAAACATCATTTTCAAATTAAACGCTTTCTAAGCGCGAAAATGAGCCCATGGACTACGGTACTGCAGCAGCTGCTTGTGAGAAGCGGGGAGCCGGGCTACCCACCATCCACTCGGCAGAAGAAAATGCTGCTGTTCTTGGTGAGGGCCAGACGGCTTCTGCGGTGGGGACATTTGTGTTGAGACTTTTGCGGCTCCACCTAGCCTTACCATACCTCGGTGCAATTTCGTCTTTTTGTAACCTACCCCGTAGTCTGAAGCTCCTGGCGCAACAAACTAATCGAACCTTTCAACTGCCGTGGGCGACTTTAAAGGGGCTCCGAAGTGAAAATTTGCGTGCGCTGAGTTTGAGCTTGGTCAAAAACTAAAAGTTTACTGCCGGAGCGTACTATGGCATTGATTGCTTAGCGCAAAATGCAAAATATTTGAGAAAAAGCGAAAATTTTCGGGGCGAAATCGACTTTTAGGAGCAGGTGAAGACTACATGTCGTAATGCCCGTAGAAGCAACCAACCCCTCAATCTCGATGATGCCGTGTCCAATTTTAACAATTCAAATGGCCATAAGATAGAAAATTTCCTGAGGGTACCAGCACTGCCACCATAATTTGAAATTTCCGCATTTCCTGCCCAAATAGCCGAGGAGGTGGACTAAACTTCTCAGCCCCTTTAAAAGGACGCGTTTCCACTCCAACAAATGCAAAAGACCCGAAGCAAAATCCTAGATATGAGAAGCACGGAGATCGTCGAAGGCGCCCGAGACACCGTTCGGCTTGGAGCCAAACGCGTAAGTTCTTTATAGAGATGTTAAGAATCAATTAACAATCAAGATTATTTGAATACATTGGCACAATATTATTTTTATTTGGATGAGGCTGAGCGCATGAGCAAGTAAAATAATATTATTTGACTCCGCTCGAGAAAGAGCCAAGTAAGATTACTTGATTTACTTGATTTACTTGATCAAACAATAGCTTTCTGGAAATCTGGCATTTTATGGATGGTAATGAACTTTATGACATGATAATATGCTAATTTACTGGGTTTGCAGCACGATTGCCTGATTTGCATTGCGAATTTGCACAAAATCAAGTAATTTCGCTGAAAATCAAGTAATTCTCCCAAATCAATCAAGATCAAATTATAGTTACTTGAAAATTCCATGCAAATAAAGTTGTTCAAGTAAATTTACTTGGTCATTATATTACTTGATTCGTAACATCTCTAGTTCTTTATAATCCCAGCCGGTATTCCCAGAACTTTCTGTGACATCTGAAGTTCGGTGTTAAGAAAAGTTCAATAAATAACTGGCAAAAATTTCTGAAAAGTCGAAAGAGCTTATTCTGCTGAACAAGGTGTGCTAATACTTGCTTGCGCAACTCGTTCTCCCGGTTTTTACAGTCCCTTAAAGGTCCGGTCTTTGGCGATTTTGCCAATTTCGAGGCTTTATAACATTTTTTTCCTTTTTATTTAGCAGATTCTTATCACAGATTCGGAAAACAGGGTGTCCCAGAAAAAAGCACCCCCTCTAGCGGTCCGGAATTTGATCGGTTCTCGAAAAACAGGTTTGTACTTCGAAACCGATCGATCGGTTTCGGAAAAAAATCGGATTGCAGGCGAGAAACCGAGCGGAAATGAACCGATTTATGCTGAATTTTGGATGCAAATCACGATGTGCCTCATTTTTTTTGGTGCTTTGCGCGCAGTGAAACTAAGCCGTTCTTAGCCTCCAAAAAAATCGATATATTCCTTCCAGACATAATGGCTCTGGAAGTTATGAGCTAAACCCCAATTTCAGCACAAAAAATGAGAAATATCGTGATTTGCGTCCAAAATTCAGCATGAATCAATTCATTTCCGCTCGGGTTCTCGCCTGCAATCCGATTTTTTTTCCGAAACCGATCGATCGGTTTCGAATCAAAATCCGGTTTTTCGAAAACCGATCAAATCGGATTCTATTCAAACCGGTTTTTATGCAGATTCGATCGATCGGATTCATTTGAAAAATCGATTTCAATACAATCCGGTCAATCCAAGCATTGATTTCAATCCAATCGATTGGTTTCCTCAAATGCCAACCCTAGTGCATTTCCCTGGTCAGTATGGAAGGTTTCGAAGTGAAATTCGATATAGTAAAGAGAGGTATAAGGGGGGCCCGACGCCTGCTGTTGTGCGCAAAAAACTTGTCGATATCAGACCGGGCTCGGCAAAATGGATTTCGGTTGGATGGACGCAACGCCGATGGATTATACGAATTATGATGACGGCCACATGGACCACCTTGATGGAGAGGGATGTCTGGAGGTAGTCTTTTCGGGGATGCAACCGTTTTATTCGTGTCTTTAGATGTGGCCGGCAGGCACGTGGAACAACATAAAGTGCGATCGAAAATGCTCGGCGGTCTGCCAGAAAGAAGCCGTAAGTTCAATGTGTTGACCGTGGTCCCTGACATTTTGATTTTCTCACAAAACAGTTCACTTTCCAGAAAACAGCTTCTTGATTGCGAACAACTGGCTTACGGAGCTATCTTGACCGGACTAAATAAATCATGTTAATTTTTGACCCGTGCATGCATCAAGTAACCACATCTGCCAATTGGGAAAACCGTGAAATTCCACATGAACAAATAAGGAAGATAGCGAGGATTTGCTTCATTAATAACTACAACTGATTAACCGAATTAATACCCGGAAACAGCCGAAAAATCGGGACTCATCAAAATCCAAATTGATTTGGGTAGCCGAGGGTGTTCTGCCACCCGTCGGGCATCGTGAGCTCGGGTTGTAGCCCAAGGGGAGTTTATAAAATGGCAAAAAAAAATAGGGTTTGAGCGTGAGTTTGAGCAAGGGACGGCTGAAAAATATATTTAACATTTAACCAGGTTACTGCGCGTCTAGATCCAAGTAAAACCTTCACTTTGCAAATTCTAGCCGATCCCGCTGACAAAAAGAAAGAACGCGAGAAAACGCAAAAATAACGAAAAAGACTACATTTTTGGCTAAGTCAAGGCTCATTTGCATCCAAAATTGGAATAAATCCAAAGCTTGTGCTAGTAAAGCGATCGCGTTTTTTTAACAATTTAACGTTATAAAAAACATAAGAAGCGATGCTTTGGCATGGACAAGTTCAATGGCCTCTCCATCCATTTCGCCACCCCCATTGACGTGTGCCATCGTCTTATGGTCCAATGGTTGCTTACTTGCTTAAAGACCGTCAGAACGATGGAACGCGCACTGTCACCCCGAGGGTGGCAAACCAAGAGGACACCTGAACCAAACGCAAATTGGAACCGTGCGTTGCTAAAAGCGCTCACTAATGAGAGGAGATTGTGCCCGGGGGCAACAACGCGCAGCGCCTATCGCCTATCTGTGCACTGATAACGATCTGTTCAAACTGATAAGCGCCGTTCCCTTCCAGAGTTCTGACCGTCTTTAAGGAGATTTTATCGCATTTTCTCACGTAAACAGCCACCTTGAGCTTTCTAAGTAAGCACGTTATAAAGAGTTTGGCCTTCCGCACCGCTCCTGAAAATTTCAGCTTGATCGGATAAAAGGCGGCCAAATGCCGAGGGGGTTCTTTTATGAGACACCCTGCATATCGAGAAAAAGTAGAAAGAAAAATATGAAGATTATAAAGAAATAAAATAACATAAGATTTGGCGGATTATGCGGATTTTGCGGAATTTGATGCGGAAATTCGAGGTTTAAAAAACTTTCGATTTTTGATTTGGTGCTGATAAAACCTGAATTCATTGACTAAAAAAAAAGATTTATTTGGCCTCGAAACATCGTTCAATAAAGTGCCGCTTTCTTGCAAACAGCGACACGACGGTGAGCATCACAGTCGACATCGTTCCACATGTGCAGATAGGGTCTATATGGTGTGTTCTTGCCGACAATCTCATCGGTCCAGATCTAAAAAAATGAGCGCCATTGTCTCCAAGGCGCCACCATCAAGCAATCGAGACCCCCTGATTAGAGTGAGTCGTGTTTGAATAATCATTAGAATATATTCGAGCCCGCTCGAGAGAAATTATTTGAAGGCATCCAGAAATTATTCAAATAATCGGTCAAATAACGGAACCACATCCGCTCCGATTCAAATATATTTGGACATCCTAAATAAAGCCGAGCTGGACAGGCTTAACGAAGTTTGAAAAATCGAGTCCATGGATTCAAGGAGGGCCTTTGTTGATGTTAGAATATCAACGCGGACCATTTTTTTTCGTGATGCTGAAATACCGAATAGTGAAAAATGTCGGTATTTTTCGGTATTTCAGGATCC